TATAAAGGCAAATGTTCTCATTATAGCGTCGTGTAGCGGACTCTGTTGCTTCAGCCGCTACTTCCGCGTTGTTTATTTACATCACGTCTTACCTCAGGAAATCCCCCGATCCCCCCTCCCCTCTGACAGGGAAAGTCCCCCGCTGTGAGGAGCATATGTGAACGGCTAGGTCGGGAGAATCTCCGGAGAAGTCCTCCTGTAAATATCTAGATATTATCCGGAGTGCAGATGTGAAAACAGCTTTGTTGTGTACTGTGATTGTACTGTAGATAATGTTTGTTGTGTGTATGAATTGACCAGGTGGCAAATGAGTTTCCCCGCCGGGGATTGATAAAGTTTTCTAATCTAATCTAGTCTAATCTCAGCCTGTAGTTAGGTTGACTGAAAATTAGGGTGGGACAGGATTCCAGCATGGCGGCTGCTGCCGATGAGCCTCCAGAGCTGTAACAGATTGCTGACGTCACTCAGGCTCTGTCCATTTATATTTACAGTCTATGCTCAAAACATGCGGAAACACCAAATGAAAGCCCATCCCAAATAAAGGCCCAGTCTCTTTTATTAGCCTGCGGTTTTTGCAGTAGTAGACCATCTAAGTAGTGTTTAATATTTCCTCAAAGTAATCTTCCCTCTTGATGAAACACCTCTCTGTATCGCACTGTCGTATATATTCTCAAGCGCTCTAAGTTATCTGAAGGCTTTAAACACCTATTGAGTGTTGTCGTGATTTTTCACAAACTCCAAAGCACAACAATCTATATTCTGCATTTTAAAACACGATTTGCTTTAATCTCCTGTCTGTCTCCGTGTCCCAGTCTCATTTACAGTGAATAAACAGACAAATCTGATTGAAGATTTACGCTGGAAACCGTGAGAAGCCTGATAAAAAAAAAACACACCAACCAACACTAGTCCCTCGCCGCTGAGGAGAATTGCTTTGCGTTGTGATGTTTGCATACTAAGACATCACGCTCAGACTGATAGCAATTATGATATTGTACCACAAGGGAGTAGGACTCTGACAGCATTTGATTAGGTCAGTATTTGCCTCATTTAGCATGTGTGCAGCTGCTTCTATGGTTCCTGACCCGGAGCATGCAGAGGGTCAAGTGTCAAGGCTGTGGGGATTTCACAACTTAAATTATGTAGATTAAAGCGGTAGTGGTTGTGTCGTTCCTCAATCACCACCTGACTAACACCCAGCCACCACCATCGGACTGTGTCCTCCCACCAACCACCTGACGCCCAGCCTCCACCATCGGATTGTGTTGTCCCTCAACCACCGCCCAACGCCCAGCCTCCACCATCGGACTGTGTCCTCCCACCAACCACCACCTGACTGACGCCCAGCCACCACCATCGGACTGTGTTGTCCCTCAACCACCACCTGACTGACGCCCAGCCTCCACCATCAGACTGTGTTGTCCCTCAACCACCGCCTGACGCCCAGCCTCATGATGTATACAATGGAGAAATCCTTCCTCCATATTATCCTATATGTTCTTCCATCTACATTTCCATCTACATTTTTAAGTTTATTTTAGATGTAGGCCGTGCTGAATGACAGCATTTCAATTAGTTTAAAAGTGAAAGTAAAAGACGTCTTTTGTGTATCTGCAATGAATGCGTACACATTTGTGTAAAGCCATCATTACTTTCTGGTTGCTCAGACTCTTAATGAGCCTGAAATGTAAATAAGATTTCGTCTGTTGTCTTCATCACATTACATCTTGAATGCAGCAAAGAATTCTGCTATAAGCCTCCGATAATGAATACCCAAATCCAGTGTAACTGCACCAGGAGTTCAGACACGGTGGTCTACTGAGCGGCAGCATCTGAAGGAGGTGATGTTTGATTGCGTGGGAGGTTTGGAAAGCTGCAGCCAGCGATGTCTCGGAGATGAAACTCATTAAGTCTCCAACTCCAATCCTCAACTCCAATAAGACTTTAATATAAAAAGTATGGATCGCTGCTGCAACTGTAATAGATAAATAAAAAAGATCTCATTCTCAAATGTATGCCCATGGACTCGCGCACACACACACACACACACACACAAATATGCACACACACACACTGACCCATGTGAGCAGGAACAGAAGCCCACACTAGAACACTCACTTCTTCACACCCACACAGTTGCCCACAGCAAACCTGCACAAAGTTAATTTGCATGTACAATAATTTCCCATACGCTCGGTGCTATTCTTAAGGTGGGTGTTGTGTAATAAAGCAGTAAGTAATATAACCTCAAAACCCAGAGAGAGCGAGAGAGAAAGAGAATAAAAGAAAGTCATGAACCAACCGAATAAGGGAAGAGAGGTAGCTGAGAGTTGAACAGTGTTGTAAGTGGATACAGAGCATTAACCCTGAATACAGAGATAAGTCTTAAGAGTCCGGGTAGCCTTAAGGTTGGAGGGATGAGTGAGCTCTAAAAGCCATCGGTTCATTTCTTAACACCAGCAGCGAAGTTAAAGGGTGACCAGGGAGTTTATCATTTAGGCCCCATTCCCCCTCCAAACTGTTCAGCTGCTCACTGAAGTCTCCGTGTTTCCTTCGGCAAGACAAAGAAATCTGAGACTATGAATCTTCTACCGTGAAGTTCAGGGCCCGTTCAACCAAATGACAAAAAAAACTAAATATTTAATGTTTTCTAACTACGGATTTTTTGGATGATGATGACTACGGACATTGTATATGTTGTGAAGTAATATTAAAATGATTAAGTATTTGTATTGGCAATGAACAGATGTATATTGTATCTCTATTTACAGACCGACAGTTACGTTAGCCTCATGCTAGCTTATCCCACATGGCTCAGACTACGCCACTAGAACACAAGATTATTTAGCAAAAATGTTAACTGATTGTTTTGTGTGCAAAAGTTGTAATCTTTTGTGAACAAATTATAATCTTGTGCGCTGTAACAGTTCAAATTGTGGTATGTATCTTTAAGACATGCTGTGTTGCTAAGTTACAAGGGGATGCGATGTCACTAGGTGGCGCCTTGTTTTTATCCTTGAAGTTTAGTTTGAGCCCTACTTTCCTTTTGCCTCTCAGCTCATCAGTGGTGTGAGTGTTTGTGTGGACATTATTTTGATGTGTACTTTGTAATAAACAACAAGCATTGTGGAAACTCCAGACACGTGTTGTTGCGCACTTTTGGCAAACTCAGTGTCTCCAACGCTCTCCAAAACACCATTAACCAAGAGGCACGGACCCAAACCTCTACAGCGCACAAGTCAATACCTTGTTATATTTTTGTAATTGTCAGTTATAAAAAAACATATCCCCCACAAAATCGTAGCCCTGTTAAAAATAAATCTAATTGGCTAATAAACAATTTGAGTTTGCAAACAGTCAATCATTGAAAATCCAGTTTCCCTTCAGCTATAATAGAAATTTAAGTCAGACATAGAACACAATGAGAAACAACCATCTGCTTGTATCCGAGCTTTTTTAATAACACTTTTTCAATATTGCAACAGCCATCAGATTTTCTTCTAACAGGTAAAAATCATCAAAAAACTAACAAAAAGAACCTTTTTTTTTCAGTTTTATATTCCAAACAACAGAGAGGCTGATAGGCCCTAAATCCAAAACAAAGAGAGAACCCCTTACACAGTGAGCAGATATTATATTCAACACATTGTTCTTCAAACAAATTATAAAAATAGATTTGGCATTTTCAAATACATATTTACAGTATTCAACATGTATCATAATGGTCACAGTAACAGAGAAGGGGGGAGTCAAGAAGGGGGACAACTTCAGTTCATTGTAGTGACGAGGTCCAGTTTGTCGTGTGTGTGTGTGTGTGTGTGTGTGTGTGTGTGTGTGTGTGTGTGTGTGTGTGTGTGTGTGTGTGTGTGTATGTCTCTGTATTCTTATGTGTGTGCGTCAAAGGGACCACCTGTGTGTTTCTTCAGCAATGTGTGGGGACGTTGATGAGGACATTTAAATTGACGGAACATTTACTGAGAAAAAGAACAAAAACTTTATTTTTTTTTACCAAATACAAACCAGGTACACAAATTGTTTTGTCCACTGCAACATCGTATCTTTCAGTGTGTGTTATGATCGAATATTTCCCCGATGAACGTCTTCCCCAAAAGCGAGGGGAGGAGAGTCACTGTACAGGAGAGAATTCTGAGGGGTAAAAAAAGTGCAACCACAAAGCATGATGATAACAGCAACATAAATTTAAATACAATCAAAACAGCTGCAAATTAAATACATCTATGTGACATTCTCGATCCAGTCTGCAACACACACACACACACACACACACACATGCACACACACACACACACACACACACACACAGTGATGTTTACAGCTAATCTAATGATAATGAACCTAAATAAACTGCACTAAAACCAGTGTAAAGGAATACACAGATACTGTGTGCTGACTGTCAGAGCCTCCAGCTTTCCTTGCACTACTTCCTGTTCACAAAAAAAACGCCTTCATGTATTAAAGGGGTCATATTATGCTTTTTCTGGTTTTATATGCTCTTTAGTGTGTCCTGTGCATGTTTAGGCACATCTATGTGCAAAAATTCAAAGTCCACGTAAACGCAGCTTCTCCTACCTCCTCCTGTTAGCTGCAGCATTAGCTGCATGTAACGCTCGGTTCTCGCCCCCCTCGATAAAAATTTGCCAGTGTGACGTCTTGTCAGTGTGAGATCACTGATCTAAGCCCATTGGCTCGTTGTGGCCCTGCAGCTCATGTTGCACGCCCATAAACTTCTGTAGCACGTCCACAATATGCCGTAGCCTGCTGTAGCACAGTAGTGCTAAGGTGCTAATGTTTTTGCTCCCCGGCCCTCGGAGCCAGAGTGGCTGAGCGACTGACCAATTACGGCAGAGCCGATAGGCCGACCAATCAGATCAGACTTGGCACACTTGGGGACTCTGAACGTGAGCACTTCAGAGCCTCAGAGAGAGAGTCAGAAGCGAGCCGGTGCATGAAAACAGACACTTTTTTATAACTTTAGCTATTGTGAACATACTTTAGTAGGTACATAGATTAAATATATGAACCCCAAAAAGGGCAGAATATGACCTCTTTAACTTAATAAAATCATCAAAACAAGAAGATTCAAACTGCTTTGCTGACGTTTTTCTTTTGAGTATTTCGCTGAATAAATAAACCTTTATTACCTCTCTTTCTGGAGACGTTTTGCATAACAATCTGTAGACATAAATAAACATGGGTAAATATCTGAATCAGGCCGTTCGTCAGAGTGAGCCTGTATTTCAACATGGTCGAGAAAAGGGGGGGGATATGTTACTGAGATGACTTACAGCAGGCTGAGAGGGGGGGGGTAGATGCTTTAAACACACAGGAAGACATATAAATGAAAGAAAATATGACAAAGAATTGTAAAACATACAAGAAATGAACAAACACTTTTTTTCAAACTTTCGCTGTGCAGTTGATTCCTGCAGCTTCCGTTCAACTGCTAAGGAAAAGAAACTAACAGGCTGATGTTCCTGAAAGTTCAGCATATCATCACTCATAACTCATCCCACCAGGTACACTTTTTAAATGTTATAAAGGACTAGATAGATGTTTGCTAGCCATGTTGGTGCAGCCTGTCTTTGAGGCCTAATCCAACTCTTCCCGGTCATGGGACAGCGCAGTCTTCCTCTTTTACTGTTCACTACCACTCTCACCATGATTGAGCTTCTGAAAAGTTCTTCAGACGTCTGATTTGAGATCAGCTCGCTCGTGCTATGATATGATTAAGTGCCCTCGTACTAAATCAGTTCATGTTTGACATTAAAATCAGCTCTTAAGGTTCTGTGGAGAGACTTATTTCCTCAAAAGGCCAGTGAAGAGTTTCTGCCTTTTTAATTAGATATTGTTTTTAGTGAATTCATGTCGTGGTAAAGGGAAATTTCCACCCGAAATATGAATGTTTCTTCAAGCTGTAACTTGTCCATTACTTGGTGTGTTTGCAGCGTTAGAAGGTCCACGCCTTTCCAGCATCTCTGAGGTCAGCTTCAGACAGCTTTACACGCTGATCCAGAAAGAGGCCACAAGAAAAGTCATGACATCACTCCTCTGCAGTCCCCACAATCGAGACAAGAACACTGCTTGTCTCTGAGGGGGTTACGTAATATAAAAAAGGAAGGAAGGAATCAAGGAAGGCGTATGGGAAGGAGGAGTAGATAGAGCAGTGTCGACAGCAGGTAGATCTGCTCGTCTTTGCTTCGGTTTGGAAGATCCCCGTCTCCTCTCCTCCGTCCCCTCCGTCCGTGTGTAGGTCTGCAGCAGCAGTTTTTAAGACGAGGTGCGTCAACTGTTTGTCAGACCTGCACACCGCGGCCGTGCATCTGGATGACCTGGGCTCTGAGCGTCTGGATGGCGGCCAGTATCAGCTTCTGGTGCTCGAGGGAAGTGATGCCGAGGCTCAGAACGTCTCTGTGGATGCAAAAAATCAAGATTGACCAAGGTTAGTGTAAAAAAAAAAAAGAGAGACAAATCTGGTCAATTTTCAGACATTGACAAGCTTAAAATACTACTAAGAAAGTGGCTTTAACGATTATTTGCTCATCCTGTTTTACAGCACTTGAAAACTAGTTTTTTTCATAATAATATCTATATTAATGTCTTTAATTTAGCAATGGAATACAATGCTGAGAAATGTGTTGGATAATGTTACTTTAGTCGATTTTTCAATTTTCCTCTTAATTTTCCAAATCTAAAAATATTCTGCTTCTGCACTTCACTTAACTAATATTATCAGCTCTGATGTATTTACTTCCCCCCTGAGGGTCTGTCACAGAAGGCTTTCTTTAGGTGTTCTAATATTATCTCTAAAAGTGAAGAATTAAGAATTCTGTCTCATTAAAACGAGGGACATTATTCCACAGTCATTTATTTTCATGCCGTTATCTTTTTAATGATCTGCTCTCTTATTATCTTTGAAAGCCGCAACTCTCTGAAGCAGGAAATGAAAGGTCAGAGCTGAATAAAGCCACTCACTGGACAGTCATCCGCGCCACAGACTCTAAATAGCAGTATCCCGCCGCTGTGAAGTTGTCCTTGTAACGGCCCATGTCCACCGCGTCCAGCCACTCTCCCACTGAGTTAAAAGACGGGAAGGAGGGGAGGGGCCTCTCTGCGAGCGTGATGGATGAACTCAGGGTTCTGGTAGAGAAGACAACAAAGGTTTGATAATGTGGAAATTCATCGAAATAGGAGAAGTACACGCTCATTCCTGAGGCTGAATATTACCTGCGTGCAAGTGTGGAGGAACCGATGCCATCAGGGGAGCGAATGCTCTTACTGAGGGCTGAGTGGATCTGGCTGAAGGTGGGCCTCTCTGTCCTCTCCTTCTGCCAGCAGTCCAGCATCAGCTGGTGGAGATGTGGAGGGCAGTTTACTGGAGCCGGCAGCCTGAAACCATCCTCAATGGCCTTAATCACCTAAAAGAACAAAGAACAATTAAACCATGCTAGGAAAAGTGATTTTCCTGTAATCAAACTTTGTACGGATTGGGCGGATGGGAGAAAGTAATGAGAATATAAAACGTTTTGTCCCACTTAAAATAAAATATCTAACGAATTAAATCATAAAATGACCATACTATGTCATCAGACATTAAGGAAATATACTATGTTGAAGTGTTGGCTTCTCTGACAATGTGGCAGCAGTATGTTGACCAGAGAAGTAAGCGGTTTTAAGGGACCCCTCCCCCCCATGGCCGTTTTGGACGCCCCTCGGTTTTAAAGGAAAACGGCAAACTATTCAGCTAACTGATTCAGATAGAAGTGATTCTACCCAAGCCTCTGCATGTTTCAAATAAACTCCACAAGCAGAAATGTGCTCAAACTAGGTTCAATATTGGAGATGAAAACGGTAAGAGCACAGAAAGGTTTAGGCAGTGCTGGCTAAACACTGCAGCTCCCTTGTCCACAAAATGGCAACCTGCATGCACCTCGATTAATGCGGAAGAAGGACGGGGGTAGCCTGCATTCTCCAATATTTTGAATTTGGACTGCAGTACCCATTTTAAACACTAGGTGTCAGAGTTACATATTGCTCCTTTAATCATTTTCTTAAAATCGTGTAGGTCCCATTTGTTCCACCTAAAAATCTCTGAACTGTAGAGGCCTTTAGTCTGAATGAATCACAAAGTGTCCTGTCGTATCTGACACCAAGATGTAAGGAGCAAGGTCCTACAGGTAATAATGTTGTGTCTCCATGGATGATTGGATGGGAGAACGTTGAATAAGATATTTAAAACCTTTTTTCCCTTTACAGTGAAGTAACTTAGGTTCAAATAACAGAACTCTTTTGACAGAACACAGGTTCAACTTGAAAAAGTGCTGGTGCTTTCATTTTCTCTCGTCACTTATTACACCAACACCGGTGTTGGATTGGGTTGTTTTCCTTCTTAGTAACTGAACTTACATTCCTGCAGCATGTATTTAAAGGTCACATTCAGAACGCCAGAAACAAATGACAAACTGATAGAAATTTCACGGGGAGATATGGCTAACCTAAACAAACAAGCTGACAACAAAGTGAACATTAATGCACTGACTCAAAGCGCTACAAGCACATTAAAGAGTAAATAGAAGATTATTATCTGAAAGTGAAAACAGGAAATAACCAAGAGGAGTCGATTACCAGTGATGGACTATATCTGTGGATTTAAAGGTCACTTTAAGTTTCCATGAAATGTAATTTCCTTTAAAGTTTTTTGTTTGCTGATTGTCACCTACACACCAGGATCTCCCCTAACAATGACAAACGTGTTTCTGCACCTTAACATGTGTTTTAGTGCAGGAAGTTGAAAGGGACTGGTGGTAGTAGGACCAGCTTCTCTGTTTTGAGGTCTTGCACAAACGACACTAAAAGACCTGAATCCGGTAATCTCTATTAGAGGTAACCAGTGCATTGCCAACGCAGAGAAAAGGGTCTAGATTATATCCCAAGGACTTTATTTTATTTAATAATTTTCCCGGGGTAATGCTTTCTGAAAGGGACAGGGACCTTACTGCACTGAGTGGTTCTGATTTATACAGGCAGCCGGCAAAGCAGCAAGAAGTTTGAACATCTGGATGTGTTTCCATACCATTTTTTAAACTTTAACAAAAATCCTTTTAGAAGCCTGGGTACTCCTGGAGGAAATGTAACTTCAGCGCCAGTTCACAGGATATTTGATGAGTTATCTCAAAACTCGTATCAGCTGGAAACATTAAAACATTTCCTTTAATACAATCATACATCCAGGACTGAGAGTTTAAATAAAAAGGCATGACAAAGAAACATCACAAGAGCGAGTATTGGTTCATTCGTTACCTTATCCCACTCTCAAGAGATAAAACTTCTAACTACAATGACTCATCTCAGATTAGCACGTTTCATCCATCCCCCCTTGAAAAACCCTCACTGTCTTTAAATAGCAGAGCACAAAAAGCATCGCTCCAGACTTCCTCCAGTGTTCCTCTCCCCTCCATCAAACTAATGTTGTCTCCATTCATCGCAACACCTCACAAAAGATTTCTTTTCTCCCTCTCTCTCTCTCTCCCCTGAATCACAGAGAGACACACAATCTCCTGAGAGGAGGAAATCAAGTCCAAGCATAATCACAAAAATGGCATCCATCAGCGACATTATATCCTAAAACACTCTCTCTTTTCTCTACTCAGCACCCCTCCCCAGCGCCCCGCTCCACCTCCCCCTCTCCGCACGCTTTAAGCTCCTACCTCACTAAAGAGCATTCATAAAATGCTTTTCAGCGTTTGACATTTTCCATTTAATCAATGCTGGTAGGTAAAGGTCGCGGTGGATCACAGGTGTACAGGCAGACCAACAAATCCGTTATGATATAATGTATCAATTTGGAGAGGATTAATATCCACGGCACTCTACAAGCTTGACCTTTGACCGCTCCATTGGAAAGTTTGATAATATGAACCTGAGAGGAAACTTCCTCCTGCTTTGTGAAAGGACACCAGAAACAAAAAAAAGGTGTGCCTGCTGAATAACTCATCCATATTCATTTTGGAACATGATGATAATGTGTTGCTTTTAAGCGCCCACCTGAATAAAGTGTAGGCATTGTTTTAGGGTGGCAGTCATTTGGGAGGGCATTAGCATGATTTTAGACTTGATGAGCAATAATAACTTTTAACATTAAAGCTGCAGGCAGCGTTGTTTGCACTTTTGGACTGTTGTGAATTTAATTTGGTTTTTCAATACTCGAGCCAAGTTTCAGAGGGACCGGACGATGCGGAAGATTTTGTTCAAGTTTGACCCGAGTAAATAAAGATAAATTCTACAATTCACTTAGCAGACGCTTTTATCCAAAGCGACGTACATCAGAGAGTAAGTACAACACAAACAAGGATCTAGAAAAAAGGAACAATGTCAGTAAGAGCAAACGATCAGCTTTGAGTCTGATTGGACACACAGGTGCTGACAGGAAGTGACCAGAGGCAAAGCACAACATTGAGGGCAGTTCTTGAGAGCTCTAATCAGTATAGAAACCATCTTATAAGTCGTCGTTATCAACAAAAACCATCGTCATTACCATCATCATCATCATAATATGGAGACCATCATCATTAAGTTAGTAGGTATTCATGAAAGAGCTGGGTCTTTAGCTTTTTCTTAAAGGTGCAGAGGGACTCTGCAGATCCAATGGAGATAAAGTTACACAAAATTTCAAATTACATTAAAAAAGTTCCGGGTCTGAGCAGGACTAAGAGGCTTTTTTTTGGTGTCTTAAATCAGTGGTGATTTTGGAGCCTGTTTGGGCCCAAGGCAACACTTCACAGGGGGCCCCTCCAAACAGCGTTCATCCCCATTATGTTCTAAATACTCCGACACAAACACGTTTTTTTTCCCCACATGTAGGGCTTGATGAGCATTAGTCATTTTCTATCATATGGGTGAGTGCTGTCAGATGGGGCCCCATTGGGGAGGTTTCCGCTGTCACTTTGACAAGCAGTTTAAAGTTTACAGCCCTTAGGGGGGCCCCCTACTGGCCTGGGCTCCAAGCAGTTGCCTGCCAAGCAGCACCTATGATCTTAATGATTACTATGTCGACTAAATCGAACATTTAGGTGAAACAAACAAATTGTCGTGAACACGATTGAGCTACTTCTTCTTCCATCGCTTCATATGAATGCACACAGTTTGTGATTTTGTTTTAATCACCTTTAGACCCTAAAATGTTTTGATTCATTTAAGCATTATTTGCAGCGTCCTCTGTGTTGTCAGCTTCAATAAACGTCACAGTCACACAGAACAGTCTGCTGTCTTTGGCAGACTTGCATCATGCAAAAAGCAACCTTTTTTTAATTTTGAAGGACAAAGAAGCAGGAGTGACAACAGCAAAAACAAAACAGAGCATCCACCCACGTTGACTAGCAAATTATAGTTAGCTAGCGACAAGCAGCAGTGGGGTCCTATCTGCTGGACCATCTCTTCAACCCCTTTACATTTTCTGAAAGCATTCCCTCCAGAGGGGATTTCTTTAAGAGCAGGATGGCACTCGAGGACAGGCGGAGGCCACCAGAAGGGGGTCAACGCGTCCTTAAGAGAAAACAGGATTGGTCATGGAGCTGATGCAGACTTAAAGAGGGGGACTTAGACCCTGTGAAAGCTTTTAGAGGTACTGTGGCTTCTTGGCTTTTCTTTAATAAGATCCACGCTGGGCATGGAGTTCATTGAAGGAGGAGGTGAAAAAGAGAGAGAGAGAGAGAGAGAGAGAGAGACTGGTAAAGTGCAGATATTATATGAAAAATGGAGGGAGAGATTAATGAAAAGTGCCCTTCTATCTCTCCAACACACACACACCACTTACATCCTGGTTGCCCATATCCCAGTAGGGTCTCTCTCCGTAGGACATGACCTCCCACATGACAATGCCGAAGCTCCAGACGTCGGAGGCGGAGGAGAAGCGGTGGTACTGGATGGCCTCCGGAGCGCTCCACAGCACCACGCTCTTCCCTCCGTGCTGCAGCAGAGGAAAGGACGGTAACGGTAAGACCGGGGGTGCGGAGAGTTCAGGAAAGTAAAGGCTTTAATATTCTCTTTGAAAAGCTTTGAACATTTTGAGTAGATCAAAAGAATCTCGAGTGCGAGTGGGTTCACCTTCGAAAACATTCAGGGAAATCAAACACTGGAATGTGTTTCTTTCTTACGGCTTAATTATGTGACCTCGGCTGCACTGACGTGTGTTAGCTCTCATCTGGACCAAAGCTCATTAGAAATTACATCCATACAACAGGCTTATTAACCGGGAATGTTTTCTCTTACCAGTGTGGTGTAGATTGCCTCGATCTTGTCCTCCTGTAGAGGTCTGAAGCCAGACACCTTGCAGCCCAGGTTGGCGTTAACTAGAACCTGAGATGGAGAAAACACTGATTAGTTTTGGTTACAATCGGAGTAATGAGGGCTCCGCGGACTGGAGTGCAAAGTTCTTATTATACAACAAACACCCGATTTGTGTAGAAGAAGGAGGTGTCATGAGTTCAGGGGATCAAAAAGTAAAATGAAGATTTACTTTGTTCACTGAAAGCTGGAAAAAAGATCAACAATTGTTTGTTTTATTGATTTGAAGAACATGTTCCACTGGATAAAAAGGAAACTTCTGATGCAGAGATTTCTTAAATGCTGGTGTTAATGGGAACTTTATTTTTGCCATTCAGGGCGCACTCACAGTCTGTAGGATTGTTGGAGACAGTGTTAATCTTCACACCACTTTCTAATTTAGTCTCCTGACGAAAATGTCCTTTATAATGAGTCAGATATTAGTCATTTGTTATTGATTTAATTTAGTCAGTTAGTCACTGACTAAGATTGCACATCGAAAATAGAAGTTATTTTAGTCAACAAAATCAGACGCAAGCTTTTATTTTGATTATCAGAAGCTCCAGGGGGCGGGGCTACACAGACCTGCAGGCGAGAGGCTCCACATTGCTGCACTCACCACACACACACACACACACACACACACACACACACACACACACACACACACACACACACACACAGACAGACTTGTGTGTACAGACTTGCTCACATATATTTGTGCACAGAAATAAATTGACATATAAAGCTTAATTACAAAGCAAATTAAACTTTTTTTTTTTTTCAATGCCATGGCTGAGTTTAGGCCTGAAGACCTTCGGTCATATGAGGGATTTCAAACACACTAATGTGTCTTAAAACTGTGCAGCAAACGCAGAAGATGCAACGTTTATATTCTTTATAAAAGAAACAAATTGGCTGAGAATGGCTGCAGATTTGGCCCACACCACACACACACACACACACACACACACACACACACACACACACACACACACACACACACCACACACACATCTTTGATGAAGTCTGCTGTGGTTTACAATGATTTTAGAACAGCTGAGGGGGAAACGTGATAATCCTCACTTGTAATGTAGTTTTGGTTTCGTAACATTTTCGTCAATTAGATGATGAAGTAATATTATTTATCAAATCATCAAATAGCGGAGTTTCGTCTCGTCGTCGTCATAGTTGACTCATTTAAAAAGACCTTCGTCAACAGCATCGTCATTTATTTCGGGCACTGAACCCCAACGGCTTGGCTGTCAGTCCGTGTGCAGCGCCCTCGCCCTGACATCGCTCCATTAAAAAACTGCATGTCTATAGGTCAGTGATGTAGTGTAGGTATTCAGAGTATACCCACTTTTCAGTCTCCATAGAGTATGCCCACTTCTTAATCCCATCTGATTCACACCATTGATTTATTGACAATTTTCAGTACTTTGACCCTCCCTACTTTGTCTCTGATTGACTTGTAGGCCTATGAACTCACTAAATGTGCACGAGTATTCTCACATGTCACTGTTTATAACAAAGGCTGCTTTTCCTCTGCGGTACGGGTCACCTAAAAAACATTTGGGGGGAATTAATAGTATTTCCACTTCTGGTTTGGGCACTTATAATGGTTCTTGTGATGGTCAGGTTATATCTGTCTGTTGGGTATCGTGCACTTTGGGTTCTTTTCTGTTGAATTGTATTTAATAATTTTTTAGTATTTTGCATTTGTTATGTTCTTGCTGTTGTTTATGTTCTTCTGTGTTTGGTTTAGTTTGTTCTTGTTTTTGCTGTTTGTAAACCTGTGTTTTTAAAAGGTGCTATATAAATAAAGTTATAATTATTATTCAGCCACCGCCACACCACTGCTATAGGTCCTGTCTGTGCTTGTGTGTAATTCAGGCCTGTATATAGTCCATAACCCCCTTATTCTTAAGGTTTTGTAGAGTCAGCGAACATAAAGAAAGCCTGCTTGGTAGTACACCCCTCTCTTCTTCATTTTCTGCTCTCTCAGTTTGACGGACAGACTCTTATGGTAAAACTTCACACGATGAAACCCGAGCTCTTCTGACAGCATCGCCTTGTCATTTCACTTTCTTGTGTTCAGCTTCACCTAAAAACCAACAGGCAAGTGATTATCAAAGATGTTTGCAGACAAGGACGAATTGTGGTCTGTAACTCAGCTGTGAAAACTTGCACTAGGCTGAGACATACATCAGCCCTCCCACACACACACACACACACACACACACACACACATCCCTCCCCACCTGCTACCTCACCTTGTGTGCAGCCAGCCGTTTGTGAACGAAGCCCATTTCTGTGAGGTACTTCATCCCCGATGCCACGCCGGTCAGCATATCCATCAGCTGCATCACACTCAGCTGGCCCTCGTGTTTCTGAGGGTATCGGAGGGAAAAGGAAAGGAACCAAAGAAAGATGGGAAACGAGAGAGAGAGAGGTGAGAGGAGGAGGAGGAGGAGGAAGGATGGTTGAATGGAAAAAGGAAAGAAAAAAAAAACACGACACATCTGTTACTACTGAACAATGTTGTGTGCTCACTGAGCCGAATCCTTTTATTTGGAGAATAAAAACAAACAGGCCATTAATTCATATCATTATATAGCACGCGGCGGTGGTTCACAGAGCAGAGAGGCACAATAACAGTTTATAGAAAGCTTACAGCATCTTAAAGCGGGAACACTCCATTTGTGCGGTTAATTATTCCACATTTTCCTTATTATCATAATAAGCACAAGCATCTGCGCCTTGGGACTGCGCTACAATCATTTGGATTTATACGAGGAAAAATGTCTCGCTGGCTCTTAAAGAGAAGATCATGATGAGGCTTAATTTAGTTATTTTTCCTTCATGTTAAATATTCTGATGCCTATCACTGAGTGCTGCTGGATATCGAACATCCCTCTTATGAGATGAGATTCAACTTTATTGTCATTACACATACACAAGTATAGAGTAACGAAATGAGGTTTGTTATCTCACCAGAACTGCAATAAGCAGAAAGTGCAAGAATCTGTGCTATGTACAGTAATTACAGAATTTACAGATGTAGACAAAAAATGTGAATTATTGGGTATATATGGCTGGATTAATAGGATGCTATAATATAAATAAATGCTATAAATATAAGTATATTTTTCAGATAATAATATACAGATTAAGGTGCAGTGAACATGCTCTACTAGATTACAGATAATATACAGAATGGACATATTGTACAGGTCGATAACTTATTGAGGTGATATGAACATACTATACAGATTTACTTATACCAGTATGATGGTAAAAAATGTACAAAGTGTTGGTGGAAATGAACTTCATTGTGGACATTTGCCAGCTTTTACTTACATTACACCATGCTCTTGTTGTGTCCTGTTCTCACACAATAATACTAGGACACGACTGATATCGGATTTTAGGGCCGATACCGATTTTCAAATTTGGGGAAAAAAAAAAATCTGATACCGATAAATTGGCCAATATCTTTCTTTTATCTATGTTCGATCCGTAGAGATAGATATAGATTCACACATGTAGCCCTCAAATGCAGTTATTGAACACTTGTGGGAAAGACATACAGTCACTCAGTGAGTTGGTTACTCGACTGGATAGTAACTGCGCATGTGATACTACTCGTTGTAATCCATATAGCGCCCTCTACTGGTGACTGAGAACTGCTAGTGCAATACAACAAAAACTCAAATTAAATGCTATTTGGGCCGATAAATAAATCTCGTAATATCGCCATATATCTGCGATAAAATTAGCCGATACCGATAGTAATTGGATATGCTGGACGATGAATCGGCCGGACGATGAATCGGTCGGGATTTAAATATTACATCTGAAAACTGTTGATTTGTGGGGCTAACAGGTTGTGGTTTAGGATCTATGGATTTACTGGTATACTGGCCAATGCAGGAAACCAGTTTTAAGCAGTATTTGATGCCATTACCTCCAAACACAATCAGAAAAACTCTATTTAAGACAAGGAACAAACAAGACCCCATAAACTTACCCTAAGGAAGGAATCTAATGATCCGTTCGACATGCTCTCCTCTATGATCATCATGGTGTTACCTGGAAGGAGACAAAGACGGAAAACAGTTAAATAGGGAAGCAGAATTTTGCAAAAGAGAGAGAGAGAGCGGTAATAGAGACAGAGAAACAGAGGAGGGGAGGGGAGGGATGGAGGCGGGGAGGGAGAGAATAAAGTGAGTCTAGTCCACTTGGCAGCGCGGCAGGCATTGTGCAAAGCCATTCCTCACCCAGTGAACTGTGCTGAAGCCGGGAGAACCTGTGTGCTGCCCTGGCTGTCTCAGCAAGTTTAACGACCCTCAAACACTCACACACACACACACACACACACAGTCCAGGTATGCACTGCACACATACACACTGGGCACCAGGCACAGATGGCGGGGATCCAACAGTGCTATGAAGTGCACAGAGGAGGAAAATAAGACTGCAGCAGTCAGAGGGAGAGTAGAAACAAGGAGAGAGAGAGAAGCAGGGCATTATGGGAGTTTGAGAGAGAGTAAGATAAAGCTCGATATCTAAAAATATAAATCTAGGATGACAGGCTATCCGCTCTGACAGTTTTTGGCAGGCGTAATAGGGAAATGATAGCTTGGCATTGTTAAATCCACAATTCATGGTTTGCCAGTTTTACAGGGTGCTTAGGAGGCGATTTGGAAAGGTGACCAACAACACTCGGGGACTGTTAGTCAGCACAGAGACGCTGCAGTAAAAAAGCAAGCCATCATGTAATTAATGCGAGTTGGATTGGAGGGTGATTCAGAGGTTTGACTGCGTGCTGGGTGGATGCACAGGCGCAGGACAGCAGATACTTCAGCTACAGACAAAGAGTGGAAGGTTATGAATCGGCTGAATTTCTGTCTGTTGTTATGGATAGAAAGCAACGAGGAATCTTGAACAAGTGCGGGCTCAGGGACCGATTATTATAGTGAAGACACAAACAATCATGGCCTTTACAGGAAAACACATTATTTAGTGTCTGTTTGAATGGTGGGACAGACAGAAATGCACTTTCTCCTAGACTAGTTTTGCAAAGTCTTAAAAAGCTGTCAAAATGAAAAATATGTCTTAAAGGAGGGACGGAGTTTATCCTTCTGTCCAATACTTATCAACTGTGTTCATGTTTAATAATAAAATGTCTTTATGTAGAGATAGGACAGCAGATAGACTCAGAAACTGGGGGAAAGAGAGAATAGGGATTGACATGCGAGAAAGGAGCCACCTAAGAAATCTATGTTCATTTTTTACATTAAAGTCTTTCTATGTGATTTTTCACACTTAAATATAATAGAAATCAAGTATATCCTCTGAAAATAACTCTGTGAGTCATGACTGTCTACAATGGGTGTAACACCCGAGTCCCACTGTCTGTGATGTTTTCAGAGTTTTCAGAGTCCTATCTTCACTTTGTTCAGACATAGAGTTTATCACTACCTAACGTTGAGCTATAAAAGCAGCCTGGAGTCAGTATAGAACAGACAGTTTTAGTGGTACTACTTGGTGTTTGTTATCAGGAATAAATGGACACCCTGCAGCCAATCAGAGCCAAGTATTGAGCCAAACCAACCAAACTAAACTGTAGGTAAAGACAATGGGGTACTTTTAAGCTATTTTTTGTGTTTTATGCCTTGATTTAGAGAACAGGAAAGTGGACAGAGTGGGAAACAGGGATGAGAGAATAAAGGGATGACATGCAGTAAAAGGTCAAAGGTGGAAGTCCAACCAGGGGGGGCACCGCTTTAAGGGCTGTAGCCTCTGTGCATGGGACTGGCAGAAAGAACATGAGACAAATATAGGTCATAAAAGAAGGAGTTTATAGAGCTAGAATGAGTAGAAAGGACAGGAGAGATATATTTGAATTACATGGCCTGTCTGTGTTGTCATGTGGCCTCGAATGATGGTGAAAGGATTGGACTGCTGTTTGCAGGTGGTGTAGTGAAAGAGAGCAGGGAGGGGGTTATGGGGGGGGGGGGTAAGTGATGTAAAGCAGGTGATCTGTAGTCTAACAGTCTCTGTTTGTTTGTGTGTAAGTGTGTACTGTTTGTGTGTGCTGATGTGTGAATTCATGCCAAGTGAGGAGGCGAGCTAGTGTGTGTGTGTGTGTGTGTGTGTGTGTGTGTGTGTGTGTGTGTGTGTGTGTGTGTGTGTGTGTGTGTGTGCACGTGAGGGTGGGAAGAGATTGGAGTGGATCTCAGGGCCCTGCTGGGTCTCTAGCACCAATTACTGTGCCCTGCACATCTGCTGCCGTCCTACTGAGCACAGAGTGTGTTCGGGCACCGGGCCCACACACACACACACACACACACACACACACACACACACACACACACACACACACACACACACACACACACACACAAACGCATGGAGCATCACTGCGGCAGTAACAAAAACTTCACAAACTCTTTAAAGCTTCTCCTTCACCTGCCATTCCCATTAACCTCTACCTCATCTTCTCTGTCTCTCATGTCTCTCTCCTCCGTCTCCTCCCTTCAACTTTTTTTTTTTTTTTTTTTTTCTCGTCCATCCAGTTTTCGCTCTAGGACCTCAATTGCTATCTGTCAGCGGGAAAATGGGCCTTGATGTAGCTCGGCCCGCCGGCTGGCACACGGCATTCTACGCTGTCGCACACTTCTCTCTCCTCTCCACTCGTCAACCGTCTCTTCTTCTTTTCCATCTTCCCGTCACGCCCCCCCCCCTCCTCGTCGTGTGCTTTGACCCCCTCCTTTAGTGCGATATTGAAGCGGCCTGAGGAATCGCTGCGTTCTTCCCAATTCCTCTTTTTTCTCCTTTTCCCTTCACTCGTTCTCTTCAATCTCTCTCCTAAGTCACCAAACATGATGACCCCCTCCACATGTGCGATATTGAAATGGTCCTGTTCCATTCCCTTTTTTTTAACCCCATCTGCTTCCTCTTACTGTTCCTCCTATTTCCCCGCTTTCATAGTCGAGGTCATGAACTTCCTTTTTTCAACCCCCAGGTGGTCAAACTGTCCTGTTTCCTCCTTTGATCCTCAGTAACTCTGTATTTTTTCCACCTTTCCTTTCATCATCCTCCCCCCTGGCTCTCCTTTTGTGTTCCCATTTCCCCCCCCCCACCTCCCGATCTGCCTTCCCCCCTTTCCCGCTCCATCTCCCTCTCATCCTCCTTACCCGTGGTGATGACGCCCTCCAGCCGGATGATGTTGGAGTGGTCGAACTGCCCCAGGATGCCCGCCTCGCTGAGGAAAGAGCGCCGCTGTTTGTCCGAGCACCCGGCCCTTAACGTCTTTATGGCCACCGGCAGCTCTCGCTTACTGGGCAGCTTGAGGCAGCCGCGGCACACCTCCCCAAAGTCACCTGTAGGGGGAGACACAGAAGCAGAACAGAGGTCATGACCCCCTTATTGACAAAACTAGGAGGGAATGGAGGAAGAATACGGCAGGTCACGCTAAAAGAATCGGAAAGAAACGGGACAAAAGGTCGGAGCGGAACCAGACTGAGAAGCATAAACATATCAGGGAGGGAAGAGGGATGACGCAAATGAACAGACACTGTTGAGAGACACGCAACACAAAGGGATCAAAGAGAGATCAAAGATTGGGTGGGGGGTGCAGGTGGAACATGCAGTACAGACATAACAGCCGGATCAGCGGCGCTCGACTCGTCTGATTGAGCTGGTTTCAACAGTTTGTCTCAAGGCGCTTTACGGTAAGGGTGAACAAAAAATGTTGAGTTGCCGCAATATTACAGCAACGGGTAATAATCCAACTGTGTCTGCTGCTTAAGCCCCCACTGTGATTTCATATTTGATAATAGACGTGGTGTAGGCTTCTGTTACCATTTCTTAAAAAGGAGTTTCATCATGTCTACTATGCCATACACTCCATTCCCTGCTTAAAATTAAAGGAGCGCTCTAAATATTTCCCACGTGTCTGACACCGCCACAGATACTGAAAGGGATCATGATGTTCATGTGTTTCTTTAAATGACAGCAGTCATTATAGCAACTGAACAATTATTGGAACTTGTAACGGTCAGTCCAGCTTAGTTTTTGTTTCTGCATCTCCCGTTTCTGAGCGCACCTGAATGTATCTCTCATTGTCTGAGCAACCCTGAATGCAGCATGCTCAAAGCGCATCCCCTGAGTAACGGCAGAGAGAGACATGCCCAGAAAAGTCTGAAGTAAGCTTGACCATCAAGGGGGGTGGGGGGGGGGTGCCGTTGGGCGGGCGTCATAATTAACTCGACATTAAAATGCTGTCGGAATAACCTGAAAAGTACGTTTCTGACTTCACATCTGAGAAAACCGGCATTCTAGTTGAGAGGATATAAATGATGAATCATGATTAATCACATTTTTTCTACATTTGAGAAATTCAATTATTTTGCATTTCAAAACAGTTTTTGTAATGCTTTTATTTTGAAGTTTCACACTGTCTTAGGCTAAGGTTGCTCCACTTCCTGTTTGGATAAAACCCGGCTTTATATTTATTAATAATAATAATAATAATAATTAACAGATTAATGCTGACTGCCCTAATTGTTAGCAATAAGATATAACAGCTCTTCATTTTATAGCATCCATGTTGTTTCCTCACTTAGTCTTTGAGCTTTGAAAACAAAAGTTCAAGTAGCAACATCCAAACTTGGAAAAGGGTACCATGCACTCTACTGCCTTCAAATTGTTTTTGTTATTATTTTTATTTGTCTATGTTTAATTTTAATATTTTATTGTTGGCATTCATTGTGGACAGCAAAGAAAGAATTTCATTGTACAGGAAACTTTTTCCTATTGTGAATCTTGAATGTGGAGAGCAGGAATGATGGGTAAACATTAAAACTCTGTTGAAAGTTGTGCACAGTAAGCTTTGTTGTCATATGTCTTTCACCTGTGTGCACAATCCTCTCGATCTTGATGCTGGAGTTGTCCAGCTCCTTGGCGAAGGCATGCACAGCCTGCATCAGATCCTCACAAGTCTCTGGGTCGATGTAAGTCCTCCTCGTTGGGATCTTGACTGAAAACAAAAAACACACTATATGAGACGAACATGAAAAAGCTTAAATTTAGAAGTTTGGCTTCTGGGCCAAGAATTTCCATGGTCATTACAAATCAATAGGTACAGAAAACACTTTTGGACTGCAGGCTTTTTTCTGCACAAGGAAGCGCATTGGAGACATCTTTATACGGATAAGAGTCAGAGGAAGAAAAGTCCATACGGCACAAAAGGAACCACTCTCACATTCAGACACCATTAAACTGTGTAAAGGCAAATGAATACTAGCGGTGTTTTGTTAGCATGGAGAGATGCCTGTGGCCCTGATGGAACCTTTTTGCTTTGAACATAAAGCAAAAAAAAAAAAATGTCTCATGTCTACATTTCTTTGAGTTTCATTGAGGCAACATTCAGAGAAGGAATCAGTTTCCCTGCATCCACCAACAAAGAATTTCTCTGTGTGATTGTTGAACATTAAAGCAAACTGTTGTGTCTCAGAAGAAGCCCTCGCTCTTTGATCCAGAGACCCGAATCAATACTCCAGTTTCATCATTGATGTTTGAGAAAGCTGGAACATTTTCTGCTATCAAGTCTCAAACCTACTAGAGGGGGGAAGGGAGGCTGCGAATATATCAGTTTGAAATGTCTGGCTAGTTATCTTGATTTTTTAACGACACAGAATTAAAAATCTATGGAAGAAGCTCATCTTTTAAACTTATTGAAGATGATTTCAGTCTATAAAAGATACAAAATGCTTCAGTTTATGTATTCCTGGTGAGTCCAATTCTCTGTGTTTGTTTTGACCTTGTGAGCTCCAGAGGCAAAAAAAAAGAGATCTAAAGCCTCCGAGCGCTCCGGTCTGACTTTGTGTTTCTTACACTCAGTTTGAGTCTGATCGCAGGGCTCTTCCACGAGGGGCTGTTGTTTAGTCTTTTCTGCTGTTTTCTAAAATGTTATCTCACTTACACACACATGCAAAAATCAGAGACGCACACAAACACATTATAATCTTCAGTCAGAAACTGGGTCGGGACAATAATTGACAGTAAAACGCTGAGACGGAGAAACCTCAGAGTGTCTCGCTGTACTTGTAGATGACTCGCCGCTTTGTTGTTTGTTTTAGGAGTTTGCGCTCGATGTCTGGGAACGTCCCGAAATGATGACAGTTTAGGCGCCTCAGCAAAAAAAAAAATAACATCACGTCGTGCCTTCTATCTGCGGTATGACATTTGACAAATAGCCTAGAAGGTGTAGGAGTGAGTCGGTATAAGAGAACACATTTACTGAAGGATGCACAACTTTCTTACACAAGAAAAATATCAGATAAGACACAATCCAATGTTTGAACACTTTCATGCCCTATACTGTATTCAAAGAGATAAATGGGTACTTTTATTGCTTCATTAACACTTGGGAAACACAAAAATGGCAATTTTTTTAAAAACTGTGATTGAAAAGAACCCGAACTTGAGTGCACACAACAAATAAAAAGACTGGATTCCTCAATAAGAATCTTGTTTCCCTTCATCAACCGCCAATTGTATTTACTTATCAGTAAGAAGTAGCCAGCAGGTAGCAAATAATCGTTAACCAATGGGATTATAGGTCTTAATTAGACCAGCGTCGGCCCCTTCCAGTATGTTTTAAGGCTTATCTTCCCTGAGAGGGCCTTCGCAGTTTCCATAAAAATCCAGGCAGTCTCTGACTGAAATGTGATTACAGCTCCAAAATCGACCAGAAGGATCCTATACTGGCTGCCTCATAACTGCTTATTGATCCCACACACACACACACACACACACACACACACACACACACACACACACACACACACACGCGCACACACACACACACACACACGCGCACACACACACAGACTTGTGTGTACAGACTTGCTCACATATATTTGTGCATAGAAATAAATTGACATATAAAGCTTAATTACAAAGCAAATTAAACTTTTTTTTTTTCAATGCCATGGCTGAGTTTAGGCCTGAAGACTCTTCGGTCATATGAGGGATTTCAAACACACTAATGTGTCTTAAAACTGTGCAGCAAACGCAGAAGATGCAACGTTTATATTCTTTATAAAAAAGAACCAAATTGGCTGAGAATGGCTGCAGATTTGGCCCACACACACACACACACACACACACACACACACACACACACACACACACACACACACACACACACACACACACACACACACACACACACACACACACACACACACACACACACACACACACACACACGCTCCATTGGCTCTGCAGCTGATTAGTTTCAGGGTTAACAGCGTCACTGACATGAGCGATTGAGGGGAAACTGAAGCACGTTCACACTCCGCTGCATAATCTTCAGCGGACCACAGAGAAATGCATGCCGAGCCACAAAGTATTCAGATCATCTTCTTCTTTTCAACCCAAGAATTCCTTACTTCCTTTCTCCACTCTTTCCCCCCCAAAAAATGTCCCTGTTATGCAATCAAGCTCAGGCTGATATCCGCACCTGGTCTATTTTGGAGACTGCAGCTCTGTCTTCTGGTGCCCCTCCCCCCCCCCCCTGTGTGTTTCTAGGTCACATCCTCCGACATAAAGCTAATGATCTGAGCAGTGTCACTTATGATGAGTCCCTCCATCTTTGTCAACTCACTTCTTACCCATCATCATCTCTTCCCCTCTTACTCACTTGTTCAGCCTACTTTTCTCCCTCCTTATTCTCCTACTTCACCGCCCGCCTGCTTCTCCATTCACTCACTCTCTGCCCCTTGTCTCTCCGTGTTCAACTCGTCATGAGTTGTTTTTAAGTAGTATACAAGGCGAACAGATGGGACAGGAAGAAGAACACGCACGACACTTCCTCACGCGCTCCATATTTGCAGACCTGCAGCAGCATGGGCGGCAGGTTGTACCCGCGGAACAGGAAGTGGACACGAGAGAGTGAGGAGAACAATAACGAGTCTCTGTGCCTATTTATGAGAGTGTCCGAGATGTTAAAAAAAAGTGGAAGGAATAAAAAAAAAAGAAGGTGTTTTTGAAAAGCAGGACAAAAATGTATCTCAGTTAATGTGTGTGTGTGTGTGTGTGTGTGTGTTTGTGTGTGTGTGTGTGTTGCGTGCTTGTCAGCTGCTGGCATGTCTTTGTTTGGGCAGATTTAATTCCCAGCCGCATGGCTTCGGCTCATTATTCATCAGGCATAGTGCTCCAAACCTCTCCAGAGGGCTAAGCATGCTGGGAGATTAAACAACGCAAATGAGCATGCACACGCACGTGCCCATACGCGCACGCACACACGCACACATCAAAGGAAACCTCCTAAATCCGCGCATACATTCAGCACATTTAGCTAAGCACTGGCGCGCACAATTACACACAAACAGGAAGAGATATGTCAAACTACTTCCATTCTGTCACTGTCAAACAAAACGCCTATCGAGAGAACTTTAATAAAAGCTTCATTTACAACCTTGTACGACATCATATAAAAAAAACAACAACATTTAGCATCTGTTGTGGAAGCGCCGACTAGCTAACATGACTTTTTCTGGCGCTTTTACCCTCCCCTTCCCTTCCTCCCCCTCCTTTTTCATCTCCGGGCTCTTTATCCTTCCCCCCCCTCCTCCTGATTTCAATCTTTCTCCATCAAACTCAGCCACACACACACACACACCACCTAATGGAGTGTGTCAGTGTGCTTAGACGCGGCTAAGCGTGCCCTCCGAATTAAGAATTAATGTTATGGCGCCGATGCCTCAAAAGTCATCCGTAATGCCGGCACATGTGGGCGTGTCTGCGCATTCCAGCACACGGGACAGGAGACACAAAAAACAGATTGACAGATTCCTCCCATTATCCTCAGTTACACACACACACACACACACACACAGAGAAACACACACACCAGTGATATAGTTGAAGCTGTCACTTACACTGGAAGTAAAGTTCCTCGTCTCCCTCCTGAGATGCTTTGCTGTAGCCGCATTGTCTGCAACGAGAAACAAAGACAAGGCATCAAGACAACGTTTTTATCCAGCGTGACAGACACAAACAAACACAAGAATCAGACTTCTGTTTATCGTACTAGATTATAAGAGAGAGTGCAAACAACTGTTAGACAAGAAGACACAGTGAAGACTAAGTATGATAGTGCAGATATGAAGTATTCATCAAGGCATCCAGAATGATGCCTGATGGCCGTCAACGAGTGGATTCTCTGCCGGATTTGGTACTGAAACCCTAGATACACACTGATATGCTTGGAACTGATAAGTCTATTGTTGTGTGAGCCTGATGGGAGTCCTTAAGAACAAGATCAACACACTGACACGCGTGAGAAACTGTACTCTCCAACTGTACTTTGCACACACAGTTATCTGTCATCCCTCGCGTTCTACAGGAGGTCTAAAGAGGAGGGAGCTCTCTATGATCTGCTGATGGCTTTACGGCTTAAAGGAAGACTTGGCTCTTTACGTTTACACACACACACTGTAAGTGATAGATTAACAAGTGATGAACAGACAGTCTGGATGGCCAGCACCATGCTTACTTGGATTAGAGAGAGGATGAAAAACAAGAGGGACACAGCCAAGGAATTGGAGGATGTTTTGATGCTTAATTCTACAGTACATCAGACGCTTACCCCCCAAAAAACAGAGTGCTGAAAAAATACAAATCAAAATATTTTTCAGATTTGTATGGAAGCACAGGGTAGGTTATACTTTAGGGTGTCAATTTAATTGGATCTGAAGAACCAGAGGCTGTTTTTGCCGTAAGGTAAAAGAACAGGACATTGTCAAGCTACAACTTTTAGAGTTGAAAAGAATCTGCAGTTCCTTAAATGGCCACTTGAGGCTGCCTCCAAAAGTGAGTCAAGTCCCATTGGGTCCAATATCAAAAGGTTCAACTTCTCAGGTGAATTATTTTTTATTATTACATGTTTTCAGCCTGGTACAAAAATATATATTTCTAGAATATTATCCAGTTTAAATTCTACTGAGAGTTATCAATAAATAGAGGAGTGGTCTCTTTGTGTGACAGGTTGTCTGCTAGGTGTCACTTCAGCTTTCAGTCCATGACAGTCAGTCTCTGCCTTTTAGGGGAGATTTTCCAAACAAATAGAAAACCAATAAAACACCTCGATGTGTCCTTTATTGTGCTAACTAGCCGTCAATCATGTCTGCACTCAAGCATATTTAGTACGTGAGATTCTATTATATGTCAGCAGTATTTGGTAGGTCTTGGTGTCTGTACCTGCCATACCTAACCCCTTGATGGCTTGTCCACTGTTTTTCATACAATGTGGTGGCAAGTTTAAGGCTTGGCTTTTGGATTTCCGTGGTTAGAAGTCTGCTTATTTTAACAGTCAAAGACAAGTCTGATATGTTCCGGAAACCCCCACAGCTTCATTAGTCTGAAAAATGAATTTGCGCCATCACCAATTTGCGAATCTCACTTTGTGGAAACATAAATGGGTAACCAGCTCATGAATTTACCCAAGAGAGAACAAGCTGTTTACACTTTTCTCATCTCCAGCAACACTCTCATTCAAAGAGGTGAACTTATTTGTCTGAAATAAAACAAAAAAGACAAAGACAAAAAAAAGCAGAAATTAAGCCTTCAAAAAGTCTGCCCATGCTCCAATGGGTGTCTTTGTGTTGGCTACATCTATTACTTGCTCCATGAATCGTATTTGTAAATGTGTTCATGTCTGCAAGCAACAAGTGAACACAGCACGGCTGGTTATCATGAGTTGAGGGATTATAGAAAACAGGGACAGTCTGGCTGTTGAGCCTGAATGCAACAGGGTTATGAGGACAAGATGACATCGTCCGCATACGCTGTGTGTAGAAAAGTCAACATGAGCGTGTCTTTAAGAAAGAAAGTGTGTGTGTGTGTGTGTGTGTGTTGTGCATGTAAATATGAATGTCTGAACACACCAGCACTTCACACAGACCTGATGCACAGCTGAGAGGGAGTTCACAGAGAGCCTATAAACATGCATCATGTGATTTTTTAAGCGCGTGTGTGTGTGTGTGCATGCTTGTTTCTTAAAGTGCATGTGATTGTGTTTTAGCTTTCTTTTTTTTTTGCATGTACGTGTCCTGTGCGGGTCTGCACAGGGACATGTGATGTGAGTGAGAGGCTCACACGTCTCTCAGCATGTGCAGCAGCACCGTCGTCTGAGACAAGGTCAGGACCCTGTCTGTCAAAACACACCAGCAGATACATGCAGCACACATCCTCGGGGCAGGAGATACCACACAACAGGGGGGAGGGAGGGAGGGAGGGAGGGGAGACGAGAATTAATAGATAAGGGAGAACAGAAGAGGGAGGAGGGGTAACAAGAGTAACAAGATGCAAGAGAGCTGAAGGGGGGAACATGACAAGGTGATGAGGTTAAAGCTGAAGAAGTAATAAGAAAACCAGCATTCAAGTTGCGTGCGAGAAAATATGAAAATGAGATCCTGACTTGGAAAAAACTTTTCTGATTGCCCCTCCCCCTTAAATCCCAAAAATCTGCAGTATGCTTTTGCGTATTACCTGCCGATATGTACTTGTGACCCAAAAACATGAGAGAAGTAGGTAGATGTTGGGTTGAGTGTAAGAAACCTAACTTTAATAAATATTGCAATATCACTGTCAATATCAATCAGACATGTAGCAAAGAGGATGTGGGTACAAGAGGATTTGTAGGCGGCAAAACTAAAGGGAATATCATGCATTAGGAAAACCTTTTTTAGCACCTAAAAAACTGTAAAAAAAAATTAAACTTGAGTGCTGCTGTGACCACATTCTCTCCTCATTGCAAAAAGATGCTGGCGTTCAGAAGAAACACTAGGTGGACACGGGGCCTGAGACACTTTTAACACCTAACTTTCCATCTAAAAAGTGGGCTGTGTCCTATTTACCTTCAATGTACCAGTATCAAGTGTCATTACCACATGTGCAGTCGCCAATATCACCCACTGCACACGACATGACATGGTTGAAAATTGCGCCCATTTGTAGTGTATTGCAAGCAGCATGCTTTGCTGCTCAAAACGTGCTAGGATACATCGCTAAGTGGACCAGGCTGGTGGCACCCACCCACAGCTTTTCTCCCTCATCAGGTCATATTGAATTGAATGCATTTAAAGAGTAACTAAACCCTAAAACCATTTTTTTCAACTACAAACCTCTGTGTTTGAGTATTAAGTAGTGTTATGGATCAATTCAAGTTCAAATCTCGACATTTGAGTACAAAGTATTGAAATTCATTTTCATATTGAAATTCAAAATATTGTGAAAAATGAAAAATGGTGGCATACTGTGAAGTAAAATCTGGTTTGATTGAAAAGACTGTGGGCCAAATTGTTAGTGGGTCTGTACACAACTATCAAGGTTACCGTAGGCTGTGAGCTCAACCACCATACCGGTAGCTGGTAGCATCGCAAACTCAACAAGGCAAAAAAACCACAGTGCACAGAAACTGCACCTTCTGGACTTTGTTAATGCAAAAGAAATCATCACGCAGGAAGATAGTTTAAACAGCCTACGACTTAAATCCTGGATTTTACGGTAAAAATGTAAAACAAGCTATTTACACAGAAACTTAATTTCTTAAACAACTATCTTTGTAGCATCCACATTTTAAAATTAGGACTTACAGCTTCTGAAAAACAACAAAGCACAACAAAATAGGAAGAACTCATCCCCAACTTTTGGCTGTGTTCGAGTGCCCCGGTCGTTGCACTTGAATGCAGCGGTTGAGTAAGTTGAGAGCTCGAGAAGCAGAGGAAGTGACAGAGAAAATTGGAGGTTACGGGTAAGAGGATAATTGGGTAGCAAGGCTATGCAAGGAAGAGGAAATAGTTGAAGAGGCACGCAGTAAAGCCAATAAAATAGGGAGGGCAGAGGGAGACACAAGAAGACGGATGTTGGGGGGCAGCAAGGGGAAACTGCAGTTAGGACATACAGTAAAGCAGGACGAGGCCACAGAAGGACAGAAAGCTAATGAGCAGCATGAAGAAGTGCAAAAACATGATAAGGAGACATGTCGAGTGATGTGAAGGGAGTTAGGAGACAAGGATGCTACTAGGCCTCTAAGGAAGGACATGAGGAAGAAGAAGAGGAATAATTGGCAGGGCTGTGAGAAGGGAAAGTTAAATGACTTGATTCCATTACCTCCTTTGAAATGTCACAGATTTGACAGAAATAATAAAAAAATAAAAAAGCTAATTCAAAGTCGTTCTCCTCGGAGAGTGGCTTCTTTTTTCAGCATGAATTTAACTGGAACAGTCTCCAACACATTTCTTAAGTTCATTCCATTTTTTGTGGTGGAGCACAATGCAGAGGATGGATGCAGAACTGGGCCAAACAGCTTGACAACAAAGGGAAGAGAAAATTGTTTTGGCTTGCTATCATTCTCGTGGTGAGAGCGGAGATAGAAACAGAAGTAAAAGAAGAAGAAAAAAGGAGGAGAAGAAGAAGAGAGGGAGAGAAGAGACGGTAGGACAACTGGGAGGAAATGAAAAGAGGGGAGAAATGGGGAGGAGGGGTGGATGCAGACATGCCAGTGTACCTGGGCATCAGCTGTGTGAAGGGAGGAAGAGGAGAGAGGAGAGGAGGAGGAGGAGGAAGAGTGGAGAAGGAGGTCGAGAGCAGCACCACGCTAGCAGGAGTAACATTGGAGGCGCTCGAGCAGACGCTGCTGGGAGAGAAACAAGGGAGGGGGAGGGGGAGGGAGGGCAAGGGGGGGTGCCAATGTCAGATCTGGCTCTTTGAGGGTCAGTCAACATAACTTTGATTTATAGATTCCTCTCTCCTAAATCTTATCATTTAATTATTGCTTCATGGTGGATGCTGCCAAGAAAAACATGCGTAAAAATGACCATAATATAAAAACATACACAGTCTATATGGTGGAAGTGTATCCTCCAGTCCATTAAACCTGCTCAAACTGGTTCCTTAAGTGTGATTTTTTTTTTTTTTTAAACTAGAATTCTGGATCGATCGTTAAATCTCTCACTTCTGAAGAACCAGATGGCAGAGAGAAATGTGTGGATGCCAAAAAGCGCCGCACATTCTGGCCAAACCCTCGTCTCTGTCAGCTAAGCCTCATCAAACGCTCAACTTGGCAAGACTTTGCATCTTAGTATTAGTCAATTAAGGATTTTTATAAAGTGCATTTCTTTCTTCTTTTTTTTTAGTTGATTCCTTTAAAAAAAGAAACGAGGACTCTATTGTCAATCAAATCCTGTACAGGACAAAAACCACTTGTTGGCCCGTCTCTTAACACCTAACCAACTTCTTCTCCGGTCCGTCTTTGGCAAACAGAACAACTCCATTCCCTCTTGCTGTAAACATAAATCTTTGAAATTGGTTGCAAATAGACTCTCATTAAAAAAAGAAGCTTAATAAATTAGAATAGCTGATCATTATTTTCATCAACTTTTATTCCATGAAGAGTTAGTTGGATGAAATTGGCCTTTGCTCTGATACACACATCAGAACCTTCACTTAAGCCTGACTCACACTGCAGAGCTCCGATTCTTCCTTCCCGACAATCGCAGGGTCGCTCCCGACTCGAGGCTGCTCGGACCTGATTATCTGCTCAGATTATCTCGTAGTGTGAGCGGTACAAAGATCCAATCTTAACGTTCGATCTGCCCGGCGATCGTCGGGGACGCCCGGTTTTATTTCAAACATGTTTGATATTTAGAATTTAAAAGAGAGGCAACCTGGTGTTTTTTTTTTTTTTAATTTTCGGTACAGATCATCAGTGCAGCACTTTTCTGAAACTTATATCCATATATCTACGATTGTATCAACGCTCCGTCCGATTTCACTTGTACAGTGTGAGCTCTCCGGCCGTGCCCGATCCAGTAGATGTCGCCCTTGAGCACCAGGACTAAACCAAAATAAACTGCTGTTTAGCCACACCTCCTCTATTCTGAAGCTTCCGCTCTCCTCCAGCGACAACAGCTTTATGTGCTAGGCCGTCCCGTCCAAGTAAACATGATGTAAACACGGCTCTGACAACAATACAGCTTTCTAAAGCACCGAAACATTTCAGGTGTTACTCATTTCTAGGACTAACTAATGGCAGGGCTTAGTCTGTTTTCTTGTAAATCCTCATTAATGATACAAATATAGAACATAACCATCTTTCTGTAAAACTGTCAGCCCTACAGTAAACAGAGAAAATGCCTTAAAGGTATCTGAAAAGAGCTCAAAATGGTACAACTGTGTTCATTTTGGTCCATTATAGAGTATATACTCTTAATGTATTTTAGGGAGCCCTTATGTGCATGCTTTTAAATTAAACCTGATGTATAACTGTGACTGCAGGTTTTGTCTTTTCTTAGTTTCACCTCTTTGGTGTTCAGCTTGGAGAGCAGCATTTAGACAAAAAACACGGGCATTAGAATAAATAGGATGTTGTTTAGCTTCAGCAAGGATGGACCCATTCTTTATTAAAAAGGAACCATGTAAGGTGATTGTGCAAAATGTAAGCTGTAAAGTATGTCGATTTTCTCAATATTGAGCCTGTTATTGTGGTTTTTTAACAATGAAAGTAACGTCTGCATTAGCCTATCATGTACTCCTTTGTGCTTCCACACAGCACATTTACATTTTGTTCATTTCAAGTGGCTGATAATGTGTTCGGCCTACACATTAGAGTCCTACATACAGACTTTAAAGCAGAAAAAAAGAACTGACGCATTTTTCCCCCCTGTGTTCCCAAAAATTCAGCACTCAAATAAAGTGCAGTTATGGAAATAAAATGAATAATAGGTGAGAGAGTGAGGAAGAGAATGCTCACTGACAGATAAAGTGAGGCAGAGGGGAATTTAGGCCAGCAGAGACTTAGGGATACATGGGAATTAGATCCAGTTTCACTTTTTATGAGTCATGAGTTTTATCCATTAGCATGACTCGGGTTTATAAAAATTCATAATGACACTTTGGTTTCCCTCCGTTGCTAATCCTTGAATGTCTCCACCAGGTGATTTCTCCAAATAAGGGCGTGTGAATGGTTTTGGATTCCACAGCCTTTTTCTGCACACATTTAAAGACGTTGTGTTTTTATGTTTGACATCTTGAATCACTATCAGGTCCGTACTACAAAGAAACATCCGGATTGATTCATGTCTCGATAGCATTTTTCCTAAACAGATCCCTGTGGAACCTCCAAAGTTAACATGCGATGTCTGTGGGTGATGGTGTGTTTTTTTTTCCTGCAACATGAGGGCACTGATCTGTACATGACACAGATGAAACTGCACTACGGTATTAGAGACCTTTTCTCTCGGCCTACTCTTCTCTCCCTCTGCCCAATTTTCTCTATTCGAGTCACACTGTAGTTTTTGTTCACTGTGTTGGCAAGAGTCAATGACCCTCTGCTTAAGTTCCTCTCCTTCTCCATCTCCTGCTCCTGATAACCTGTTACTCACTCACCAGACAGACACGAACCCTGAGTCTCAAGACAGACAGACACACACATACACATATATGCACACTGGTGAGGCCAGTGAAGGGTGAACAATCCCCACACTGACCAGTCAGGCCTGGGCTTCCTGGAGAGATGTTTGGGCAATGCCCTGGAACTCCGGCTTTATCAGACTCTGTCAGGCACCGATGGACTGTGTGTGTGTGTGTGTGTGTGTGTGTGTGTGTGTGTGTGTGTGTGTGTGTGTGTGTAAGTGGTTGGATACAGTGTCAAGGTAGTGTCATATGGCAGCTTGGTCAGAGGCCCAGAGTGTCAAAGTATGAAGCTCTATGTACCTCACCAGCGTCACTTCTGGAGTCTTATTTCAATCTTACTGTCTGATGTGGTGTTGTTATCATGTGACGTAGTTTAAAGAGCTCTTAGGTGTGTTAGGGTGGAGGTTGGGAGTGAAATAGAGGATTCAAACAAACACAGGACTTTAATTTAGGGGATGAATTTTCACTGATTTCAAAGTTCTTACAATGTTTTAAATGTATATTTCTTAGGCCGCCGGTGGCCTAGTGGTCAGTTCGCATGCCACTGGCACCCCAAGCGTCCTGGAATTTTTCTGGCTAAGTACAATAGCACTGATTTCAAAAACATATTTCTATTCCATGGACGGTCTAGTTAGTTGAGTTAAAAGTCGAATAAACTGCTTTATGACACAATTTATACAACAAACACTGTCGAAGGCATTGCTCCTGCATTACATTTTCTATTTAAAAAAAAAGTTTTTATATTGGTACCGTAATTGTGCGAGGCCCTTTGAATTGCCATGTTGATGTTCTAAATAAACTTGCCTTGACTGGTAATTATTGGAAAATGTATCTTCCAATATCAATATGAAGCTGTAATATCTCCACATCTGTCTCACAGCTTAAATCTGGTCTAATGTTATGATGAGAAGATTAAGGTGGAGAAATATCTCTACAATATAGGACACCAATTCAGTAGCCTTGCTCCATTGATGGTAGTTAGTACGAGGCATTTGGACAGTGGTGCATTCTGTCTGATACATATTTTTTACATAGAAAACACAAGGTGCTAATGTGTTTTATTCTAAAGGGATCGAACAGCTTAAAAAAAAAGATGCAGAACCGACCTGCTGCTGACTTTGTGATGAACTGGGCTTCAATGAATGTGAGTGTATACTGCAGCCTGTGTCCTCACCTTCATGTGTGTGGGACTCATTTGCATGTGTCTGTGTGTGGATGTAACTGAGACCCCTCCAGCCGTAGCCGGGAGGGGGGGGAGCTGGCTGTCTCTGCAAACACGAGAGGATGTTAATTGAGGCATCAAGCCATTCCCTCTTTGTCTCTATGCAAAACATGAAGAGCAAGTTAATGGTCCAGCAGCGAGGAACAATGGAGGCCGCTTTCAATGAATGCAGCGATGGAATAAATAGGGAGAGAACGATAAGCATTGCTATTCAGTACGGGGCTGAGCGTGAGGCCATGATGCTGCTTTTTCTGAAAGCGACAAGTACATTCAAATACTTATGTATGTGTGTACTGACTTCGCACATTTATACATATATATATAACCGGGTGTTTTCTGCAGGAGTGTACAAATCCACACTGGTATATCCCTTTAAAGATATGTGACAGACCGTCTCAGTTTGTTTGAAGCTGATGCGAGTGAAAAGAACCAATTTCTACACCCGGTTGACTCCATCATTCCACTGTTTGTGTGGATCTGTGAATTTGTCTGGAGGTCTCTATATCACAATCTCTCCTTTTACAGAGGCAGGCGTGGAGAAGCTACTCTATCAGGCAGAGAGGTGGCAACAAAGTAGATCTGTGTGTGTGTCTTTGTATGAGGGGAAAAAAAGAGAGATTGCATACAAACTATGCAAACAAATGCTCTCACAATGCATGTATAAAATCTACTTGGATGGGTATCAATTGGATGCCATGCAACTGAGAGAAAAAAAACGATTGTTTGCTGGACATGTGTTTGAATATGTGTGTGTGTGTGTGTGTGGGGGGGGGAGTGGATATGTGCTGGCATGTGTGATGGAGTTTAAATCGAGTGTGTGTTTCTGTGTGGGTGTGTGTGAGGTGAGCTGGCAGAAGTATGGAATTGGACCGGAGTCAAAGAGCAAAAATGGTTGGAACAGGAAGCAGGATTGCACCGTCTCCTCCCCCTCTTTTAACCGCTCGGCTGAATAAAACATGCACGTATATGGCAAGATACACTCAGTGCAATAAACAGGGCAATAAAGCTGGCATTTAAAAGCACCTGAGATGACACAGAATAGCAGCACTAAAGTGAAACAATGACTGAATTATGTGGTCGGGCGACTGATTGTGCGATTGGATATGACTTTTTGGCGTCATAAACTTCAATGACAAATTCATTAAAGTGATACTTACCACAAAGATGGACGAAAAAAAAAGGTTTTGTGGTTTACAAACTGTGACAAATGAGTGAGGTTCTGCAGATTTATTTACCATTTGCGTCCACAGCCTTTTCTCAAAGTACTTACCTACGTTCTTTATGACTGTTTTCCATTTTTCATTGCTAATTGATCCCATAAATAAAGATTTAAACGTCTAGACATGGCTGTCGTAACAGTTAAGTCTGGCAGGTTTTTCTTTTTCTTTTGTTTGCGTCTACGTTACTTCATTGGTACCCAACCTGAAGTCTGCGCCAACCCGGAGGGGGTCGCCAAACATCTCAGAATGAGAGCCAATAAAATTGAGGTAAATTTTTACAGCAACGTACCACATTGTTGGTGGTGGGTGGTCAGTTTTCTTGAGCCCTATTCTGACTGCCATTTCAAGAAACGCTATTTACGTCGCTGCTGTGACGTTTCACCTTCAGGATAAGTGTTATGGAGGCGTACAAAGTGGTCCCCCCCCCGTGCCATCCTCGAAGGTCGTAACATGGGCGTTACAGGGACGAGACAAGATCGACAAGCCAGCGGGGGAGCTAAGCGCTGTGTGTGTGTTCATGTCTGACTGTGTGTGTGTTTAGAGCTCCTGCTATACCTTGCTGTGTCCTGCTTTCGCAACACCCTAAGGGCAAAGTGAATCCACAGACTGGGACACCAACATTAGCCCGTTGAGGAATCAATATGACTGTCTTAAGGCGTAATGATGGTGGAGCTTTGTTACGGCATGTTGTGGAATTGAACTATGAAAAGGGCTTACGATACAAGCAGGGGCTCCAAGGAAACAGGTTTGGAACCAGTGGTTTATGTTTCCTTCTTTATCACATTGAATGACTGGAAGCATTGATTTGAACGTTTGCAATTTCCCCATAGCCAATGGCTTAGTAAGACAAATATGTAAACACTAATTAGTCTGTTTATTTTTGGTTCCAAGAGGGCATTATCAATTGAAGCAGACCAAAACAACTCTGGACCCTATTACCCATTCATACAACGGAATGTGAAGAACTGGTGGGCTTAAATACCATGATTATTTTAATGCTCAAATAATATCAGGGTCTACATAGTTTGTTTTTGTTAAGTGGAAAAATATGTTTAAAATGTATTTTCTTTGAATGCAAAGCCTCTCTTAGAAATTGCCGTTTGTCCAACCAGAAGCCCAACAACCAAAGACTCTTCATTAACATGTCTTTAATGACAAAGATAACGGCAAATTCTCGTCATCAAGACGCTGGAAACAACTAATGTTTGACATCAATTCTTGAAGAATGACTGAAAAAAATCATTAAATTATCGATATATTTTGAGATGATGTAATTATCCATTAATAGTTGCTGCTTTAGAGATTTGGAATAAGAAGATTTAGCGAGAAACATTTTTGTATTTTGTATGTTACATAACACTATAGATTAGTTAAAACAGACACAATAACAGGTTCATAAAGGTCCATATTGGCAGCAGCCATCTTGGTTGTGTACAAAAGGCCTCAAGATGGTCCGAAATTGTATTGGACCAACCCCATTATAGATAAACGGTTGTGATTGGCCCAACTAAAATCAAAACAGGGCAAAAGGAAATCTATTTGGAGGAGAGGGGGCCCAAACATTTTAGCAAGGCACATGAAACATGAGCTCACAATGCTAAAAAACACTGAGGAGTTTAGTTACTTGGTGCTTGCCTTAGGAGAAAATAGTTCAAAAGGTTTCTCTTAAGAACCTGCTGAAATACTGCTGTTCTTCTCTTTGGTAGCAGTTTGATATTTACCTCAACTCAGATGTAGAAGTGTTGCGACAATGCTGTAATTACTGGAACATGTCCAACAATGTCCTCTTATCACCCGAGGCTGTGAATATCATCTAAAGTTTGCAGAGATGGTTCTTCAAATTGTCCAACTTAAAAAGTTTTAAACATAAGATATATTGGCCTGATTCAACCAATTCTACAGATGGTCATTACAATTTCCCCACTTGGCGTTGGAAAAATGACCCAAATTGAGGCATTATAGTGGCCTCCGTGTATCAGGCTGCCACTTAAAATCAGAAGCTTCACCCTACTGATTGCTGCAGTCTGAATGGTCTCCACAAAATGCTGAAAACTGAAAGAATCTTGATTTAATAACACAGAGCAGTGCCCTGAAGAAAGAGGTCACACTAGTAGCAACTCCAATGTCATTCATTCAAATTCAATACTTTAAGGACATTCAGTGAAATGACATGTTTAGGAAATCTGCTCTTGATGTGAAAAGTAAAAAGGGTTGTGACCCCTTTAAGGCAAACTTGTGCATGAGTTGAAATGTGTGAGATATCATATTTAACTTCCATCATATCTCTTTAATGTTTTCAATGTCCAATTTCCTTAGTGAGATGTAATTAGACAGCAAATAATTCTGCATGTCTCACATAAAAAAACAAACATAAAGGAGGTTTTGATTTGGCCAATGCATATTAAACGATGGCAGTAAATCCCTTTAGGAGTGAATACTCCTGTCAATGGATTACTGTAATCTGGATTATAACAGGGTGTGACAGTCGATTGAATATGCGATTGAGTGTTTTACACATGTGCATGTCAGCGCAACATGCTAAGGGTCTTAAAAGCTGAGTGTGATCAAATGAGCTATAGGATGCTTATAGTGGGTAGAGCATTATTTTGTTTGTAGTAGTATGTGTGTTTATGTCTGTAAGTGTGTATTCACCTCCTCCAGATGAGCAGTCCAACCCCCATAGAGAGCAGCATTATCAGGGCGGCCACAGACACGACCACGATGATCACCACCGGGCTCTGCTCGCTGGACGCCAGGGCCACTGGAAAGGACAAAATATAAATCAGAACACACTGAAGAAAAAATTCAGACTTTGTATAAGAAGTGGACTTTGTTTCTTGGTTTTCTAAAGGGACGCAAATGTGAAAGTCATTTTAACCTGAATTCTTTCAAAAGCCTACCCCCGGGGGTGTGTTCAACAAAGCAAGATTAGAGGGTAAGCTGTGTCTGTTCAGCCTTAAGTCAGAGTTTTTTCATGTCAAGGAGCTGGCTCTCTTTTAACCTGGCCAGATCACCATGGTAACTTACTCCAAACTCATAACCTGGTCCGTACCAGTCCAAAGAATGGAAATTGGTGTGGTTGCTGTAGAGGTGCCAGTTCACTCTCTACAGAGGTTTCCTTAAACTACGCACTGATCCTCCAACAGCTCAGGGCACGTCCCCTGTGTGCAGCCCCTCAATCTTTATTAATGAGTGTACAAAGGTCCTGTTTGTGCATGTGTGTGTATATTGGGCTTTTGTGTTTGGAGCATGCATTTCAATAACTTCAGTGTAAAACTGTATTTCGCCTCTGGATATAATAAAGTATGAACAAACAAATGATTTGTCTGCTGCCACTTCCAAGGTCAAGAATGAATTTGAGAATTTCACAGATCTACACAACCACTTGCTGTCCTGAGACATGGAAGAACAGGCAGCAACAATTGGCAATCTACCCAAAGTCGAATAATAATTATCAGAGCCACATTTGCCAAAGGACAAACATTGTTTTTGTATTTTTTATTGTAGCTGTGCATGTGCCAACTTTTACTACTGGCCTCCAAAGCAAACACATTTATAAAGTTATACTTGCCTTATGAATTATTCACTTGACTGAATCATGTGCTTAGAGTCAGTTAGAGAGTAGCAAAGTGTAAAAACAGTTTTTTGCATGCTTGCATTTGGTGCGTGGCCACCGGTGGCTGCTCGCTTGCTGCCCTGTCAGATTTAAGGTCAGTCGACACTTGATCTCGCCCCAGGCAACTACAGCAAGCTGAATATGCATCAACCAAAAAGTTATGCCTCTCGCCCTAAAATGTGCATCCACAGCTGCTTAAAAAATAAATAAAAAGTCTTTGTGTAGAAGCTGATCTTATGGAACTCTGGAGGATATTGTCTGCCGGGGCAGCTCTCAGGTGGGTTGAACTGTATAAACAGTGTTAGCAGCTAGCTTGGTTGGATACTTTGTTTTGTTGGCTGCTGGTTGTAATTTAATTCCAGATTATGGTCACCTTTCAAGTACTTTTGGTGAAATAGTATATTCACTGCTCCAAATCAATGTGCTAGCTAAAAGCATTAGCACCTAAAATGACTAAACGTAGACAACAAGAATGCAGTCCAAACCTCCGCTAATGATTTATACATCTTACAACTACAAAGAAGAGGGATGTACACCTTTAAGATGTTTGGAAACTATGACAACTCTACGCTGCAAAGTCATTAGCATCTACTGGAGTATTGAACAAAGCCTCCATTGCATTGGAATCTTGGGTATGGTAACGGCTTTTTCAAGAAGTAGTCAGACCCAAACAGATCTCGATTTTGACAGAAATTTGCATGAAAACATGAAATATTGGTCTTAATCTTACTTATATCAACAGATCATTGTGGATAATGTCATTGGAGGAGTCCATTATCAGGAATTAAGGTACAATGCAGATGCAACGGGAGGAGGTGTTGTCCATACATTCCTGATAATGGACACTTCGTCGAGCGTAATCAAGTTCATGCCAAGTTCAAGGCAAGAAGCAGACTTGCAAAGAGTCATAACTAAACTCTTGGATGGCACATGGGACAACTCAACTTCCACAAAGAAGAAGAACTGTTTCACAGCTTCCTGGTAAAATCTCTAATCTTCACACATATTCTTAAACACAGTTACACCCCATTCGCTGTGTCTCTTCCTCTAACACTTTGCCTCACTGTGTGGGCTGGCCAGGTGCCTGTACACACAAACCCTCCATCCCAATCTGCCCGGGAGAGAGGAGAGAGCGAGGAGGAAACGTGAGGAGGCGTAAAAACGGCTACTCACACTCGCCAAGAGTCTGCAGCTCCAGGGGAGCGCTGTACGCTCCGTAGTCGATAGGCGGCGGAGAGGAAGAGGAGGAGGACGAAGAAGAAGAAGAGGAAGAAGAGGTAGAGGAGGACGAGGCGGAGGCAGAGGAGGAGGACGAGAGAGGGGAGGAGGACAGGGGCGAGGAAGGCGCCGGCGTGGAGAAAGGGCGGATGAGGAAGACGTATGTGGTGCCGGCTTTGAGGTTGTTGACGCTGATGCGCGTCGCGGCGGTCTTCACAGTAGAATAACTCTGATCCTTTTGTTCCTGCGGAGACAGAAAGTGAAAAAAGAAGAAATGAGAGAGTGAGGAAGCAAAGAAAGACAAGCAAACAGGAGGAGGAAAGAGAAGGAGCGAGACGAGTAGGTGGAATCCATTTGTGAGATGTTCATTTTCCAAAAAGGCACAGTTTGTAACGCTCGAGGGAGACATGCGAGACGTTTTTGGTAACCAAATCAAGAGCTTTTTTGGTTTTTTTATTCATTGATTCAGTGGAACATCATTTTTTTAAAAGAATCCCAGAAAGTTTTGAAGACAGATTGCCAGGACAACCTGAGGAGTTTGACTTCTGAAACCTTCTGTCAACACAGAAGTATCAGTCTGTGCTTTTGCAAATCAATCCTGAGTCGATTCATTAGAGAGGAAAATAAACCAAAGACGTTCCTTATCTGTTTTTTTTCCCTCTCTGAGTATGACTCACAACTTACACAAGAAAGGAAAGGGAGCAGATGACACACATTAACATCGTCACTCCATTTGTTGTCTCATATGTTTGTTCTTTCAGTACAATCTGATTGGCAGCTTTGCTCAGGGTTAAACAAACATGCATGTCATCCATGTATGTTTGCATGTTTATCAGATCACTCAGACGCTGACATTGAGCTGTATTTAACTGATCTACTCATCTGATCAATCTGACATACATGCAGAGAAAACATCCCACCAGCATGGTTAAAGCAAACAGAAGGGAGTTTTTGATTAAGCATTTGGTCATGAGGATCTGGAGCTGCACGCAAAATCTTTATTACGCTCTTAATAAACGACCAAAAATAGCACAACAGGATGAGGGAGTATAGAGAGCAGGGGAGTCAAAGTGTGATTTAATAAAGTAGGTGATGAATAAAAGGGGTTCAACAGGGAAGGGAAGGAGCCGAATGCAGAGAAAATAACACTGAATTCTAATAAAATACTAGTGGGAGAAAAACAACAATAGAGTCAGAGATGACGCTTTGTAATATCAAAAAATGAATAAGCACTGATTTAGTCATTACTGTCGTCAACAACGTGTTTTTTCTTTGTGGACCAGAAGAAGAAAAAAACAACCTGGTGGTGTTGTAAGATGTTTGACCTTTTGAATCTCCCAATAGAAATGTGTTAGTTAGTGCTTATGTGTATTTTTGTTTATTGTGATGTCATTGATTGGACGATCTTCAAATGACTCTACAAACTAAGCTGAAAGGATTTTGTGAAAGAAAAGACCATGATAATTAATCAAAACCTTGAAATTATTTAATGAATAGAGAAAAATACAAAAGACAGACATGTTTTTGAACAGAATTTTTTAAGGAATACAAGTTTAGAGACAACATTATCAACCTCAATAGAAATATGTCTTCAATGATGACATTTTTTTAAGGAATTCAAATGTTGCACGTCTCTTAATTGGTCCAACCGAAAGGTTATGAATGTTTTGGGAGTTATGCTGGAGCTATTATGTGTTTATGTGGAGGGTATTTGATGAATGATAAAGCAAACAATCTGTCTTCTACCTTTGACATGGTATGTAACATGATAATGTATTAGAAAAAACTTACAACGTAATGACGTGAAAGACAGAAGATTTAGCTTTTATTTGTAAAACAAAAGAACTAAGGGGGCTACAGGGGTCTGCAGGGGTTAGTGCTGCCGCCTCACAGCAAGAAGTTTGCTGGTTTGAATCCCCGACCTGACAGAGGCCTTTCTGTGTACATTCTCCCACGTTCTCCCAGTGCATGTGTGGGGTTTCTCTGGGTATTCCTGCTTTCTCTCACGGCCCAAAGACGTGCTCGTTAGATGATGGTGGCTCTAAATTGTGCGTACGAGTTATTGTTGTTGTTTGTCTCTGAGTGACAGCTGTGGGTAACCTCGTGTTCTTGCCCAATGACAGCAGGGATTGGCCTGGGACGAGCAATATGGATGGATGAATGGCTGGATGGATGGATGGATAAATGGATGGACGGATGGATGGATAAATGGATAAATGGATAAATGGATGGATGGATGGATGGATGGATGGATGGACGGATGGATGGATAAATGGATAAATGGATGGATGGATTGATGGATAAATGGATAAATGGATGGATGGATTGATGGACGGATGGATGGATTAATGGACGGATGGATGGATAAATGGATAAATGGATGGATGGATTGATGGACGGATGGATGGATGGATGGATGGATGGATTGATGGACGGATGGATGGATAAATGGATAAATGGATGGATGGATTGATGGACGGATGGATGGATGGATGGATTGATGGACGGATGGATGGATGGATGGATGGATGGATAAATGGAAGGATTGATGGATGGATGGATGGATAAATGGAAGGATGGATGGATGGATGGATGGACGGATGGATAAATGGATGGACGGATGGATGGATAAATGGAAGGATGGATGGATGGAAGGATGGATGGATGTATGAATGGATGGATGGTTGGATGGTTGGATGGATGGACAAATGAATGCCAGAACAAAGGCTTTGGCTATTCCATAAAAGATCAGTTAAACCAGTGTCATATAAAAAACAAATCTCCTACAGCTCGTCAGGGTTTGTGAACACAACATAATGATGTTGTCAACATTTGCACATGAGTCCACCAAAAACTAACGTCTTAGCTTTTAGATTTAAAAACAACGATTACTTAAGTTACCAAAGTATATTTTGGATTGCTTAGATTAAAATCATGCCAAAGACTTGTCGGCCCTGCAGCCATTCACAGAACATGTGTTATTATTCAACAGTCTCTCATGAACAGACTCACAGAACAACGATTAGACCTTCATTTCTTCTGTTCTCTTCTCTCCTCATTTCTTAATCTATCCATTCTAATCTGAGTGTCACTTGAAGCTTTGGCACTAATGCCTTTATTACGTTCATGCCAATAGAGAATATTGAATTCATGAATAATTTCATAAATATCTTGAGGTATTATGTGTACTGTAAAAATGCATCCCGTTTCATAAGAAAGAAAAAAGGCGTAAGAGTAAACGAGTAAGCTCCACCATATTTCCTCGGACTTTAATAGTCTCTCTGCTGCAGTATAGTGGAATTTCATTTTCATTTCATGGCCCGTCAACAAATTCTCTGTCTCACTCTCATGGCTTCCCCGTCTATCCATATCTCTTTTTCCATTTATCTGCTTCCCCTCATCCAGCTTCTCTTCTCATAAAGCACCTTCATTTATTTCGTTCTCTCACCCTGCTCTTACAAGCATCTTTCCTTCGACTCATCTTCTTTCTCATATGTCCCTAATCCCCTCTGTACTCGTTTCTTTCAATCATGTATCACACAGGGGTCTCGTTCTTTCAAAATGTCTCACTTTGTAAACCTCATTCCTACCCTATTTTCTTTCCCCTGAAGAAGAAGGAGTGGATCAGTGACGAGTAGGTCTTTATTAAATATGGTGTAGCATATAGAGACGAGGTAGAGGTGTGAAAGTGAGTGAGAGCGTGACACAGCCAAATGTGAAAAAAGAAAGGAAAAAAAGCCGTCTGGCGTCGTCAGAAAATGCAGCGACTGAAAGAGGCGGAGAGGCGTGAGCGTGACAGCTGTGGTTTTACGTGCATGACAGATTTACTGTGAGAACTTCGACTGCTGATGGGGACGGCCACAATCTGACTAAGTGCTGTGTTAAATGGGCGTGATAGGGCCAATGAAATTACAGTGTGTTTTCAGCAACGCAGAGGAGAATGTGGCTATAATATGGACCCGGGTTAATAGGACTTTGAAATGCACCAAAGTACCTCGATTTCAAACCATATCTTCACTGTTCTCAAGTGGTGGAAGGGGATCCAAAAGTGGGTCACGGACACGTTTTCATTGAGTAGCAAATTTGTACCAGGAAACAAAATAGTTGCAAAAAGTCAATGAAGCGCTTTTAAAACACGTTTTCTTTTGTTCTGTCCCTTTGTTCTGTCACTTTTTATTCCGTCTCTGGTCCACACTGTCATGTTTTTCATTAAGTATGAGTTGTTAAAAAGTGTCAGAACTTTGGATCACAAAGTAGTAGTTGTTGGTGGTTTGAGAACTAACTGATTTAGACTGCATGAAAGGATTGTAAAAACACTTCAGCTGACTATTTCCTCACTTAGTTGACAAGTTTTCTTTGAGCTATTTTCAATTAAGTATGGGGTTCTAATATCTTGTACGTCGGCACATTGTGCTTTTGTTTCTTTTAAGATTTATTTCTGGGCTATTTTTGCCTTTATGGTAGAGACAGGTCAGTGATTAGAGTCAGAAATCATGGAGAGAGAGAGTTTGGGAATGACATGCAGGACAGGAGGCAGAGGTCGGAGTTGTACTACGGCCACCTGATTGGAGGACTTCAGCCTCTGTACATGGCACATCATATTCTGCTTTTATTTGCATTCTTCACGATGCCTCAACTTTTTTGGAAACATGGATGTATAATCATACCAAAGGGGCAAAATCCACAAACACTTAACATATTCTTGTTACTTTCCATTAACCAGTCGTTTGCCATTTCCTGGATTCTCACACATTTATCTCCAGACATATTTTTCCTTCTGCTTTGAGTCAACTGGAGAAAAAAAACTTGAGCTAAGCATAAAAGTCTTGATAAGATGAAGGAGACAGAAAAGAAACCAAAGATTTGGGGAGATTATGATGCAACAGTGGATTTACCTTCTCATAGTATTTGACCTCATATTCAGTGCGGCTGCTGTTCGGGTGGGACGGCTCCCTCCACACCAAGGTTAGGCTCTTCTGCTCGATCTTCTCCGCTCGCAGCTCGCTGATCAGAGAGGGAGCTGCAAAGAGAAGAGAGTAGAGTAGGAGGGATAAGTTTAGGGATTGCAGTCTCATTCAATATAAATACAACAAGGAGATCACCACCATCAGAAACAGTCTTTACTCTGCTGCATTTCCAGTTTTCACTCAAAACTTGACAGTGCAGACAAAGGTCAAGGGGGGGAAACGGAGAACTCTCGTAGAAGGAGAATGTTAAAACTGTATTTATAATGTAAACTCTACTGTATCGTCAAATGTAAGAGGAGAGAGAGAGAGAGAGAGAGAGGACAGGTAGGAGAGAGGGGACAGATTAATTATTGAAGCAGACAGCTTCATCGCACTCTGTGAATGGATAAACACTGCTTCAGGTTTCTTTGTCTGAGTGTGTGTGTCTTGGTCGGTACATCGAAGCTGACAATAGATCGATACAGATATGGATTGACTGACAAGTCCGCATCGACACAAAGCTAACGGATGAAGACGCTTCCTAATCTGAACTCCCCGAGTCTCTCAATTAAAAAACTGACCTCAGAACTTTATTTTTTCTGTCTCAATCTTGGAAGAGCCGCGGTGAAATGCAACCTGACGGATATTTCATCTCTTATTGATCACATCAGGGAACCAAACAGAAAGATGAATTATCCGCACAGAGCTGTCCAAACCAAATCAAGACGCCCGGGCCTAAAGCACAGCAATCACATTAAAGAGCACTTCTTTGTTTCTTCGTCAACAAAAAGACAGGCAGCACATTGTATGATAATCAGCCAGCGCCCACCCACTGTTGCTTAAGTTATAATTATGTTGTGTATAATGAAGTACCAAAAAGGGACTGTCAATCACAAGTACTTAGAAACATAAAGGGGGTGCAGTTAGAAGAGTGAAAGGGCTTTTATGTTTGGGTGGAGCCGTGTCATTAAGGCCATTAGGGTACGGATTAGTAAGGGGAGAAAATGTTGATTTATGTCACTTTTTTGGACTACATGATCATTATTGTAATTTTTTTCATATATTTAACTGTCTTACTTCCACATCGAAATAAAGGGATCTTCAGGATTTTCTAAACCCCTTTTCAGATATTTCCTCCAAACAGTAAGAATGGATGGATGGATGAATGGATGGATGGATGGATAGATGGATGGATGGACAGACGGACGGACGGATAGATAGATGGATGGATGGATGGATGGACGGACGGACGGACGGATGGACGGACGGATGGATGGATGGATGGATGGATGGATGGATGGATGGATGGATGGACAGATGGATAGATGGATAGACGGATGGATGGATGGACAGATGGATGGACGGATGATGGATGGACAGATGGATGGATGACTGGATGGATGGATAGATGGCTGGATGGATAGATGGATGGGCAGATGGATGGATGACTGGATGGATAGATGGATGGATGGATGGACAGACGGATGGATGGATGGATGGACAGATGGATGGATGGATGGATGGACAGATGGATGGATGGATGGACAGACGGATGGATGGATGGATGGACAGATGGATGGATGGATGGATGGACGGATGGATGATGGATGGACAGATGGATGGATGACTGGATGGATAGATGGATGGATGGATGGACAGACGGATGGATGGATGGATGGACAGATGGATGGATGGATGGATGGACAGATGGATGGATGGATGGATTGATGGCTGGATGGACAGACGGAGGGATGGGTGAATTTCAGATCAGTTTTCTGCTTTTATATCAACGCTACCTGTAGTTCAACGTATTCACATCATTATTTGAAAAGCGAAGAAGAACGGAGATCTCACAGATTGCCCGTTATGCAGTCTAGGGTTGTGTCGTGGTGACAGGATAGAAAACTCATCACCCTGATGGTACAGTGATTTTTCCTGAATATTTCCTGTTTGCACAGCAGCTCCCCCCATACTCACACAGACAATGTACAAAGGGGGCTGGGAGACAAACTCTGTGTAAAGTCGCAGTGAATAATTTGACTGTGTGAATTCACAAACGGATCTCAGCTGAAATTTTCAAGGACGTTTCAGGAGTTTTGTGCATGTGTGAAAGCACAAATAGACTAACAAAGCAGAAATGTCAGTCAGGACAGAAACATAATGCCTATCCATCCAAATATGGACATTTCCTGTTCTCAAACAACCAGGATGGCAAAAATAAATGGGTGACATTTGGGTGGCCTCTTTGTTTTTTACAGTGTATGGTCGGCCATCTTTTCTTAATCTAACCGTACTCCCTTCAATCAGAAGACTGCTCCTTTTTCCCCACTTCCTCTTCCTCTCTTTCCTGACCTTTACCCACCATTCATCTTATTCCTGCCACAGTAATAAACACGTTTTGCCTGTCACTCGAGTCGCACACGAGCCAAACTATGATACACACAAAAACACTCCACACATCCACACAAAACAAACAAAAGACTCAGTGCGGCTCCTTCATTGCTCCTCTCATACAGCAGGATATTACAGTCATTTTAGGCGGCAGATCAAAGACACACTGGATGCGTCTGTCTCTCTCGCTCTCTCTTTCACTGTCCATCTCCTTCTGTGTTTTTTTTTTTTGATGTCTCTGGAAATACAGGTATTTTTCCATTATTCATGGTGACTTCTGCGGTATCAAAGATGAGGGGTGGGTGTGTTTCTGTGTTTGTTTGGATCTGTGTGTGCCTCCATGAGCGCTGATTTTATGCCTGCCCAATCAAGCTGAATAGAAGAAGAGAATACAGACAGCATAATGAACCTGCATGTGCATGAGTGAGTGTGTGTGTGTGTGTGTGTGTGTGTGTGTGTGTGTGTGTGGGGGGGGGTTGTCGCTCAGCTCCTGATTCAGATTTTAAAAAAGGGGGGATTTAGTAGACATGTAATAATTCAACATGACATTTTTATTCAAAGACTTTCAAATCTGTTGGATTCAGTGACAGTCTCGTTGTCAACGGGGGATTTATTAGAGTCATTTTAAAAACTGAATTACAAAAAATACATAACGTTACTAAAATACAAAATGATAACGATGAAGTCATATAGTTACGACACCTGATCAGATTTTTTTCTGTCTTTTCCTGGATCTTTTACAGGTTAAGTGAAGTTACTTATATTTATTCATATTTAATTAAATACATTTTTATTCATTTAATTAATGTGTCCCTAGTCCGTCTACAAACCACTTTTCAGAAAATGTGTGCTCAAACAGGACGTTTGGAAATTTTCCCTTCATGACATCACAAAGGGCAGTAACCCTTCCCCCAGGTGGGTGACGCTCCCACAGCTGGGTGTTTGTCCTGCCCTCTGAGTCTGCCTTCTCACCGTAAACAATAGGACATGGAACGAGAAAGCACTTGCCACATCCCCTTCCAGAGAGGGGGCGTGGCCAGACACAGCTCATTTGCATTTAAAGGTACAGACACAGAAACAGCCTGTTCTGAGCAGGGCTGAAATAGAGGGGTTTATAGGCATGATCAAATACAGGATCAGAGTGGATTTAGAACAAAAAAATTCACACACATGTTTTAGGGAGCTCTGAGACTTATTTAAACTTGTTAAAAAGGAGGATAATGTGGCCTTTAAACCAGAATGTGTTTAATGTTATGTAAAAAAAAGGGAGTCAGGATGAATCAGGACCTAAACAACCTCAAAAGATGCCATTTAGTAAGTACAAACACTGATTGAAGCTTTAAGTTATTATTTTTTTTATGTCAAGTACATTGAATGTAACATAAATGATAGGGTAGCTTCAGGCGGTAAACAAAGAAAAATGCTAATGCACAGAATACAGGAATGTAAATAAACACTCACAGATAAATGATTCTTAATGATAAATGACTCTGTGAAGGCATTCATTAGAAAGTTTAGAGGAAGCAAACTGCAGCCAGGCTCGTTAGAAAGTAAAGCAATTACTCCCACAGCATTAAAGAAATTGAGAAAGAGAGAAAAAAAAAAGAACAAACACAGGTGGTAAAATGATGGTTCAAAAGAAAAGGGACACAGACTTTCAAAGCGTTTGCCTTCCAAACAGAAAGAGGAACTGAGTGTAACACTCCAGACCAGGAACACAATGTCAACCCGCTCCACCATCTACTCCTGCAGCTACGCTTTCCTTCTTTCTGTTCTGAATTATGCATATGCCTCCAGACTCCACATCACACAGCTCAATCTGACACATAAAACACAGGTGTGCACGGTGTCTCTATGAATACACAATCACATACAAGCTCCAGAAGGTTTGAAAAATATATATAGAAAGTTATACAAAGGTTAAGCTGTATTTCCACCTCTGCAGCTGAACTGAAGAGGGCTATAACATCTGACACAGTGGCAATGTGCAAACTGTCCGAACTCAACAAATTCTGAACACACAGGATATTATTGTGATTTAAGTGTGTGGTAAAATCGCAGGTTCGTCACTGTTTGACCTCTCACACTTGAAGCTAGGACTCTGAAGACGGCCAGGTCAATCCTGGCTGACTGCAGTGATCCTTTGTCCAAGTTGCTTCTGATTGGCCGCAGATTCAGCCTGCCAGCATACAGGACAAAGAAACAAAGAATTAATTTGTCCCTGCTGTCCTTTTCTTTTTAAACAACTAACTGTGTTGCTTTTTCATCTGTTTTTTTTTACATATTGAATTTATTGTCCATTGTCCAGTCTTTAAAAAGACTACAGGTCTCATTTTTACCAAGTTTAGTTAATATGTTAAACAACAATGAGCTATTTGTTGCTCTTTTTGCACTTGAATTGCACATTTGCACACCTCCACTTTGCACTTTAATAACTTGAATTTCCATTCTGGTGTGGGCTCATGACTGATTTTATTGTGTTGTTTTTATTTGGTTTTATATTTTGCTGTGTTCTGATTTTTATTTTTATTTTTTTTTCGTTTTGGTTTATGTTTTATGGTGATGTTGTCCTTATGTTTCTTGTCTTCTGTGTGCTCCTGTTGCAATGCAAATTTCCCCTTGTGGGACAATAATGAATAATAATAATAAATAATAAAAAATCGGAATCGGAATTGGACTTTTA